AAACCAAGCATTACAAAGAGAGAGGCGCGATGGGTTGAATTCCTAGCTGACTATGACTACACAGTCCGTCACAGACCCGGCAGAGAGAACCCTGCAGATCCCCTTTCGCGTCGCCCAGATCTCCATGAGAGTAACCTCGTGGAGAATGCAGTACCACGTTTGAATGCTATTGAGTATGCTTTAGCAATGAATGATGACGTGTCCAATACAATATCAGATGCCTACCAGAGAGACAAAGAGCTAACTCCCATCATAGAAAGATTGAAGCATTCTCTCCGAGATAATTTGCATGATCGCTATTATTGGGACGAATCCACTGATCGCTTGTACCTCAAGGCATCCCCCAATAACCGGTTGTGCATACCACAGTGCGGTGTCCGGTTAAAGCTCATTCAAGAACACCATGAGTGTGCAACGGCTGGCCACCCGGGTCGTGATCGAACGTACTTCCGCCTAGCACGTTTTTTTCTACTGGCCCCGAATGGGTCTCGATATCAAGAGATTTGTCAAAACCTGTGATCTCTGCCAGCGAACGAAGGGAGGTCAGCCACGAACAGGGCTTCTCCAGTCACCTCCAATACCTAATAGTCCTTGGCAGGATATCTCAATGGATTTTATTGTTGGATTGCCCCTTACTTCTCGTGGCTTCGACGCAATTTACACCTTTGTGGACCGACTCACGAAATGCGTACATCTTGTTCCAACAAACTCGAAGATTGATGCTAAGGGCAGCGCTCAACTGTACATTCAAAACGTATTTCGTCTGCACGGGCTGAGCTCAACCATTGTTTCCGATCGCGATCCACGATTCACTGCAGCTTTTTTCAAAGAAGTATTCTCTCAGCTAGGAACTAAATTGGCATTCAGCACTGCTAACCACCCTCAAACGGATGGTTTGACAGAGAGAGTTAACCGGCAAGTGGGAGATGTTCTAAGAGCATTTGTGAACTTGAGACAGGACAATTGGGATTCGCTTCTACCACTCTGCGAGTTTGCAATAAATAGTTCACAACAGTCATCTGTAGCTAATACACCGTTCTATCTGAACTATGGGTTTGACCCTAAGTCCCCGCCCGAATTCATTCTTACGGGAGGGGAAAGGAGTGATTCGGTCGATTGGCTTCATGAGCAGGAAGCCGCACTAAGGATAGCTCGAGATGCTATGCTCGACGCCCAGGCAAGGCAAGCTCTATATGCAGACCAGACGAGAACGCCCAGTGATTTGAAGGTTGGTGATAGCGTTCTTGTCTACAGAGACTTTCTACTGACCCCGGAAGATCGTGGCCAGCCCTCTCGGAAGTTGCAACCCAAGTGGTTTGGTCCGTATCGTATCCAGGCTAAGATTGGAGCGAATGCTTTTCGCTTGGAACTACCCCGTGAACTTCGCTGCCATCCCGTGTTTAATGTCACTGCTCTTAAACGCTACGAAGAGAACACGATTCCTGGAAGACACCAACCCCTGCCTCCGCCCTTCACAGATCTAGATGGACACACACGCTATGTTGTCGAAGCCGTTTTGAATCACCGACACCGCAGTGGTGAGCAACACTTCCTGGTGCATTGGAAGGGTTACCCCAGCAGCGAAGCTACGTGGGAGCCCGCTGGCAACCTATGTGATGAGTCTGGTCGGAATAGTAAACCGCTGCAGAACAATCTAGCCTCACAACGACAGCAGCCTTGATCTAACTGGGCTGAGCCATATGCATCTCTTACTGAGATAGTTAATAATTATGTTATAGACTGATATAGTTTTGCGTCATCTCCTTGTGAGAGTGATGAAGTTGAGTTGGATTACACTTCAATGTGGTTAAGCATGTGCATGAGTGATTATTTAATATTCCCATTTCCGCAATTGCATCTCCTAACTGGATTGTGTTATCGAATAGAACCTTGGGCTTCCTATGGGGCCGGGAGAGTGTAATAGTTTTACCTTGACACTTCTTGCTTGTCTTATGGTAACACCTTGTGTTCCTACTATTCTCACTCCTGCGGTTCTCGCCTTTCTTTTGCTTTATAACCTCTGGTTTGAACATCATTCGACGAATTCTCCAATCAATCAAGTCTATACTGTTACACTCACGCTATTCACCGATTCCAAGACTGTGGCTGCTTGGTTGCAATCGGTGCTTGGCAAGGTGTCTCGTGTTCGCGTCAGCGGCCTGCAGCAGGTAATTGTACAGGGCCGTCTCCAGATTATCACTGATCTCGTCGCTGTCACGGGCTTGACAGTCAAGGTCCAGTGGATCAGCAGTCAGCAGAACAAGGCGGATCAATTGACCTGTGTTCCCAGCAGCTGGATCCGATGTGGCAAGACGCTCCTTGCTCGGATTGCACCGTCCATCACCGCTGCGGTGGTGACCGTTGGTCCATTCTCATTGGACAGAGTATCTGCTGGTCAGAATGCAGGTCCTCGGATTGTTGCGACTCGCCAGCAAGTCATCGATGGTGACCCAGTTACTGATCCTGCGTTTGTCAAGGTCAAGTCACAGCTCGTAGTCCATGATGGTATGCTGTGTCGAAGTGTGAAGTTGCCGCCCAATGATGCAGTCGTCATTCCTGTTATCCCTAGTTCACTCGAGTCCGATGTCGTTCGTGCTGCTCATGTGAACTGTGGTCATGCGTCTTGGGAGGGTACATGGCGCTTCCTCCGCTCGAAGTGCTATTTCCTGAACATGGCTGCCCAAAGTCAGCAGTTTGTGCGCCACTGTTCGCCGTGTGCTGCTGCCAGCCCAACCAAGGGCGTTTCGGCAGATGCCAGTCACCTTGTGGTGGCTGATGGCCCATGGAGTGTTGTAGTAATAGATACTGTGGAACTGGGCGTCGATCAGAGTGGAGAGTACCATTGTGTTCTCGTCTGAATGGATACTTTCACCAAATGGGTGAAAGTGGTTCGGCTCCGTCAACATGACGCGGCATCAGTGGCCGAGGCATTTGTCGGCCTGTGTACGCGGTTGGGCCTGCCCCGAGTGGTCCACTGTGATAATGGCACGGAATTCATCAACGCCGTGATGTCATCGCTGTTTGACACGTTTGGTGTGACAGTGCTCAACGGTGCCGTGCGTCATCCCCTATTACAGGGATCTGTTGCGCGGTTTAACCGCACTCTCCTCACCTTAATTCGGAAGGTGTTGGATGAGGCTGATGATTGGCGATCTCAGCTGGACGTGTTACTGTATTTAGACCGTATTCGTCCGCACTCTGTCCTCAAGATTTCTCCTATGCGTGCGATGCTTGGCTGGGAGCCCACCAGTGTGCTCTTCTCGGCTACTCCTGGGCTGGGCCTGACTCCATCTGATCTTGAACGCCAGGTTGCTCGGATCCGTGATTTTGTGGAAGCTGAGCTGTCCTCCGAGGACTTTGTTGAGTCTGAAGCTGATAACTGTCTGTTCGCCGTTGGTGATGCCGTTCTTCTACGTTGTGAAGTAGAGTAATCCTCTTGCGCATGTTGTACGTAATGCAATGATTGATACGTACTTTCGATATTGATTTCGCTGGTGCACATGTTGGTGCAGCGCTGGCGCACTCGCTGGTGCACGCGCTGATGCACGCACTGGTGCAGTCAGTTGTTTTGTGTTGTACGTGATGCAGCTTGTTGAGGAGAAGGGTTTTCAATATCTTGTGTTCAGTTCTTCTTCCTTCTGGCCAGGTCGAGTTCGTGCTTTTTTCTTCTGTACACTTCTTGTGCATTTTGGAATTGAAATTAATAATTATAGGCCAACTGATATCCTTGCGCTGGTCTGGTGGTGGATAATTCCACAACACTCTCGTTTTGCCTGTCCATTTTTGTGTATGGCTGATCCGCTCTCTCATTTTGTCTTCTCTGTTTGTGATATGTAATGCAGTTATGTGCACAAATCCCTGGGTGAAAAAGAACAAAGCATGTGAATGTAAACCGAGACCAGGCGGACCCATCTGCACAGAAGGTAAGGGCTAAAGAAAGCTGCTGTCATTTTAGCCCGCTTGTCAAAGAACATACGACCCATGCATACCCGCGTGCTGGACTGTTGTATTTGAAGACAAGAAAAAGTAGTTCCCAGCGTTTATGCCTGGTTCTCCAGCTTATTACTGAACGTGTGTTCTATTCAAGTGCAAGGCATGAGTATAAGTTGGATATACCTGGGATTGGTGAATGGGTGCTAGTGTTAGTGTTTGTGGCGATGTTGAGGTCTATACAATGTCATGATGATCAAGATACATGCGACAACGACTTGAGAATCCAGTAGGTTATTCAAGTTCTATCCCTATTTGTGTGTTTTGGGAAATACGTGAATGCACCCAATCTCTACTGCAGTGTGCAATTGCTTGAATGATGGTCAGTGTACTGAAGACGGCACCTGCAACTGCCGGAAAGGTTTCCATGGAGACCAGTGTCAACATGGTAAGTAACTGCTAAATGAAGTGAATACTCGTGTTTCTTTGATTCACATGCCCCTGGGAATTGTGACCATACATGTGCATGCATACATCAACAATTATTCCTAAGTTATGAATCGGTTCGGAACCTAATTTGGGTTCCGAACCGATTCATACCTGTGTTTTACCACCCCTCCTTTTGGACACAGGAAGCTAGTGCTTCAAGACAGCATGCCTTTCTGGAGACCATGCTCGAGATCTTTCTGACTTCCTAAGAGGCGATTTACATGACGGCAGTGCATCCCGCCGGGAAGAGAAGCACGTGATCTCGAGAGCTTGCAAAACAGACCACGGAATGTCACGACATGCATTTCCAACCACCGCCTCCCTCCCCCCAGCCCCCTCATGGCGCCGGGACCGTACCGGGATAGCCGGCGGGATACGTTCGCGCCAAAATATGAGCACATGTAACTAAATCTCCATGGTAGCATCAGGCACGGGATGAATCCTGCCGTCGTGTAAATCACCTCTAAAGCACTTGATTGTTACAGAAATTGTCTCAAGTGCCAAAGAAAGTGCCTCGGAAGTTTGATTATTGGTATATCCCCCCCCCCGCCCCTCCTTCCCTCACTATCTATGAATTAACCATGGCTCAGCTCTTCAAACCCGGTGCAAAGACGGTTACCACAGAATTTTTCAATAGCCTGCTTGCATATACGCCTAATCAGAGTAACGTTACTCAAGTAGATAATCAAGCAAGATACTGAGGGCTTGATGGCTGATCGAAGCCCAAGGGACCAGCCCGAGGGCTTTGATCAGTCATCAAGCCCGACTGTACCTCGCTTGAATATGCTTCAGACAATCCCCAACCAATATTTTATCGGAAATAACATGCACCTTAACCTCTCTATTATTTGAACTGGATTCCAGTATCCATCTGAGAAAGTCGGTGTTCGTCGTGTGCTGCAGTTGTGTTCTACTTCGGCTGACTGTGTCTTGCATGTGTACTGTGTTATATTCAGCTTTCAAGACAAAGTGCCTGGGCAGTAATAATGCAATATTCACCTGGATGGCTCTTGCCAGCTTGCCGTGTTATCCACATCTCGACTATGGCAGCTGCCAGAAGAAAACGAACTTCGTGCACGCCCGCGAGATGTGCGTGAGAAGAGGATACAACGTCGTAGACTATTATTCCTTCACTGGGCTTGGCTTGAAGCTGGGTGTTAGCGACTGCATAAAATCATTGGTGAGCGAGATGATGGCTAGACGTAACAGCAGTTACAGCACCCCTCTCAAGATATGGACATCGTACATGTACTTTGGTCAGCATGTTATTTACAAGCAAGGCAAGGACAACTCGAGCGACGCACTATTTGACAGGGGTGGAAGAGGCCATCATGATGTCATCTGTGAAGGTAGGCTGTTGCGTTTTAACCCATTTAAGGCTATAGGCCATGGCACCCAGGCTCTGCACTTCTTATTTGGCAATGAAAAAGATGTATAATTTATACCGGTATATACCATACTTCCCCACATATAAGCCCATGGGCTTATATGTGAAAAGTTGCTGCAAAAAAGAGTTTTTGCTGTGTGAACATGCCCGGGTAGAAGCCCGTACGCTTATATGTGCAATAAAGGTTTGTCTGTGTTCTAAACAACGGTGTTATCACAATCCTTAGCAGTATATTCAGCTCCCGGGTGTTTCACCAATAGTGTTGACATTATAAGCGCATTAGGAAACCAGAGGCCACATGCCACGTACTGCTCTTTTCTCTCCGAAACTCAACACTTGCAAGCCAGATATGAAAGAAAGAAAAAATCATCAGTCACGCCACCGGGACTCGAACCAGGGACCTTGCTATTCGCGAGCAATGCTCTAACCAACTGAGCTACAGTAAGACTCTTATCCACAGTGATGGTCAATCTATCCTTCTTCGATCAATCCATATCTAGTACTCCGAGTTTCTTGAGTTTTTTTCAATCGTCAGGCAACTTTTCTAATTCTCTATTATTATATAGTTAGGAAGCTTGGGAGCAACCACTCATATATAATATATACGTCCTCAGCGCCTGGGCATCATTTTCAATGATGTATACAAATAGCGGTGAGTGGGTTAAAGGGTGTGTCCAGTGATAGTAGTGGGACAGGAGGAATGAAACAGAGACGGCGAGAGTAGTGAATGCAACCGAGGTTTCCCTCTTCAATGAGAAACCTACCGCTCTTGCCAGGGTCATATCCACACATGAGTAACCAATTAGTTTCATCTGCGAAGAAACATTTCATGTGTATGCTTGTGCCATAACCCGGTGTTATACTACTCCCTTGGTAGAACCGCTGAATGATTTGCAAATGTGACACGGTGCTGCTCTATGAAGTCTGGCAAGCCCCAGGCCTGTGAACATTGAACTACTCACTAGCTCTGGGCACTTCCGTATCCATGAGATCGGGTGTCATGGAGTGGGGCGTTTGACTTCAAGCCCCCCCCCCCTTATTCATAGATTTGTTTCATGATGTGTTTCTACCCACAACTGTATCTTCCCTTGCTTTGCAGCCAAATGGCTCCAGGCCAACGATTCTGTACACGCCGCAGCAACTCCAGCACACAGACCCAGCGTGACTGAGCAGTTCGCAGAGGACGCATGTCAGGAGTACGGATATCATCTCATTACCAAGGAGTGGCTAGAAGAACATGGCCATGTGTTAACAGAGCGCTGGCTAGAGAAGTTGGCCTTATTGCATAAGCACCAGCAAGCACCTTTCCACGTCGCGTCAATCCGAGTCAATGGCCGTTCCTTTTACAGAACCGTAACGTTTAGCGCGCAAAAGCAGTCGTTTCAGAACGCCACAAGCAAAACTCAAGCCCAGATTCTCTGTGTCAGTAAGTGAGACAAGGCTTTTTAACTTAAACGGCTGACCATGCGCAAGTAGTGCTCTGACCATGCGCAAGTAGTGCTCTGCCCTTGTGTGTTACATCAGCACGATGAGAATACTGTTGTGCATTTGTGTAACATGTGTCCTGTGCCAACGTGAACTGTGTGAACAGGGCCTGTGCTAATAATGTGCCACTATGTACGATGTGACCTTGCTATGTGCAAACATGTCGTATCCAAGCATTTCTTGTACGCACAATGGATCCCAATATAGAGAGCCCTTCCTGAACTGAGGATCAGGTTGTGTTTTTTCCCGTAATTTCAAAGTCGGCATGTTTTGATTGCGACTTGCTTGTTTGGCGCAAGCAACTTTATTTGTTGGAAGAAAGTTTATGCAGTGTAGCGTGGCGATTGTCCGCACCCCTGGGAGTGCAGGCCATATCCAGGTGTTCGCATGAGGGGTATGATGTGATATTATTTTAGAGTCAAACACCGATTATGCGGACGTTAACTATCCGGACAATCGATTATCCGGATCTCCTGGGCGGGCTGGACAACATACAAAATTGGCAGCTTTTTTTGTTGAAGTTTTGCTGGTTTTCGCCACTCGGAGCACCACTCAAGCGATGCCCAAGATGTTTTACAGCAGGTTATTCAGTCAATATTTATAACGCTGAGAAGCTGGAGTGCACCTAGTTCCTGTTGTACTACCGAAGAGAATATTAAAAAAATGTTGAAAATATGCTGGAATATGCATGTGATAGATGTATGAGTGGTCCCATAACCGACCATTCTTCTCATCTGATCACCGTGGAAATGGCCGGTGCCCCGAAGGGTGGCTGACCATTGGCACCCTGCTGTATTTTAACGGCAACTGTCAAATGCACTATGCTTTAGCTCCTTGACAGATCCTATGAGGGTAAATACTGAAAAAATCCCTGCTCTGACGCATCAGTTCCTATTATTTTTTGCTGCATGATAAGGTTTCTTGGACCATCACTTTGGATTATCAAAAATGTCAAGTGTTAGGGACTGTAAAGGCCGATTCACAATACAAATTCTTGCGACGCGACATGCAACTTTACAACACCTGCGACGAGCTGCGACAGCGACACACAGTTCACAATAGATGATATCCCAAATAATGTGCTACTAGACTTGAGAGGGCATCGCACACAAGTTGCATACAAATTATACTACAATGTGTACACGGTAGGCCCTGAGCTCTGCATGAGAACAAGTCACAGGTACCTGTACAACTTTGAACTTTGTATGCAACTACTCTGCAATGCCCTCCCAAGTCTAGTTGCACGTTATATGGCATATCATCTATCGTTTTCATGTTTGCGACATCCTTATGCGCTAGTATTACTATGCACGTGCACTGCACGTGCACCCAGGGTCGAAACAGTACTCCATTTTGTGTATGTCATACAACAATCTTCAACTTCTGCGACAGGTGCCTTGCAACAGCTTGCGACAGCTCGCGACAGGCAGATTCTTGTCGCAACTGTCGCAAATCGTGTGTCACGTCGCAGAAGGTTGTACTGTGAATCAACCTTTAGAGTGTAATGCAATTGACTTTTTGTTGTCCTGTTCTGCACAGAGACGTGTGAGACCGGTGTTCTTGGACCAGACCTGAGTTGTGTATGTAACCGCACCTCAACCTATGGTCAATATTGTGAAAAGGGTAAGACACCGAGCCGTTCGTTTTTATTTTTTCTGAGAACACGCAGCAAGACTGCTGGAGATCATCCGGTATCATGATCTATGCAAGCGGAGAGACCGGCCCAATTCACCTAGACCACTTAGTTAATGTGAAAGTCATGGAAAGCCTTGTACCTCGGATGTAGCATTTGCTGGAGATGACTGACATTGCCAGGGCTAAATGGTTAATTAACTCGTGCTCAAGGGTGTCATTGATTGACGAAACTGGATTGAGTGCGAGCAGGCAGTGCAATTCGAGCAACGCTGACCCAAACTAACAAAGCAAGGGTGTAGTACGCAAACTGCACGCATGTCGTACAAAGACTCTGTGAAGGCTTCCAAAAAACGCCAACGTCCATTTCCACTCCAGCGACTCCCGGTGTGGAGGCCGGTGTTATCGGATTCCACTCCAAGTACACCTACTCTGGATTCGGCCAGATTAGGCCAATTGATCACGCACTTGCTCGGGATTCGTCCTATCGATCATGCCCACCTCAGTCAAATGGTGTTGTTTCAAATCTTTATTCTCACGATAGCCAGTGGCCAATAAGAGAAAATAGTGTAAGAAAGGAGAAAGAGTGAGGAAGAATTGGGTGGGCAGCGCCTAGGGTGTTGTTGTTGTTGTTGTTGTTGTTGTTGTTTATTTTTATTTTACTTCACCAAGTGAACAGGCATTTCTGCCTTCTCACCAGGTCAGCGGAGACCTAGTTCCGACTAAATGATAAATGTCTCGATTTCCACTAAGCATAGTGTAACACCCCGTGCATTTTTCTATGCCACTCCGTGCATGCGTTTATTGATGGGCGTTGCAGCATGCAAGTGCTTGAATCAGGGTCAGTGTGACAACAAAGGTGAATGCAGCTGCCCGAAAGGATTCACCGGAGACAAGTGCCAACTCGGTAAGTAGAAGATTTTAGTTTTCTTCAAGTATTCTTTTTCAGTTCCCTTGGGATTTTATAATCATGCACTGACAAGTACTTTGACTCGCTAATGAAGGAGTCCACGCTTTTTGGACGTGATCGTACAAGGCATAATAAGAAATTCTATGGCAACAGTCCATGGTAGCCATGGAAACAGAGCATGGAATTTTGCATTCCACTGCCATGGGAATCGATATGCCACGGTCAAAATTCACTTTGGACGCAGTTGCAAGCGCTCCGACAGGAACATGGCGCCCATTTTGAAAATTGATAAAATTGCACATATGCAATGCCCTGGATGTAGTCTTGCCTTTTGCGCCATTACTTTGTACTCCAAGGACCTCATTTCAACAATTGTTTCAAACAAGATTCTCAAGCAACAGCACTTTTGCAGTGCAATTTCTTGGGTTCTACCGGTAGGACCCGTGGTCTTACCGGTAGGACGGCATGCAAGCTATAATTAACATTCCAGAATCACGGGTGGTCAATATCATTCTGGAATTGCCCAACCAAATGCAACCTTTAAGTCTGTCTGACTTCGTTTCTGGCTGATTTACTCTCTTCCTCTTCTTCCCCTTCCTTGCGATGTGTGATGCAGTTGTGTGTACACATCCCTGGGTGAAAAAGAACAAAGTATGCGAATGTACGGCCAGACTAGATGGACCTAACTGCACAGAAGGTAAGGGCTGAAGAAAGCTACTGTAATGTATGTATGCATGTCAGAGAATGTATGACCTATGCTCTCACGCATGCTTGAATGTTGTATTTTGAAGACAAGAAAACAACTCCAGAGTCCTCATGCGGGCTTCTCCGACCTATTCTGCAACATATGCTCAGTTTGTAGCCGGGATGTGATAATTTTAAACTGATTGGGAGAGCATATGTCGGCTACAAGAATTCTGGCTAATCTGAACACTGCAACTAGAATACACCAAAAGGGGCGAAGAAGCTACAATATTGTGTTGCCTTGTAAACTGATCTAAAAAAAGGAAAGAAGAAGCTAAAATTAATACATCTCTGCACTTGAAGTGAAAAGCGTGAAGTGTGCAAAGCAGCGTGCACAGAAGTCAATGCTGCGCCCCTACCCCTTCGGCAAAAATATTGATATGGGGAGTTGGACCCTTGTAAGTGGTTAAAAGAGCTGGTTTGAGGCGTCCATGATGATGGTCAAGGACATGTGAACAATTTCTTGACAGTCCGTTATTCTGTTCCTTTCCGTGTGCTTTGAAAAATGCGTGCATATTCCCAATCACTGCTGCAGCATGCAAATGCTTGAATGACGGCCAGTGCACCAAAGATGGCACCTGCATCTGCCGGAAACGTTTCCATGGAGATCAGTGTCAGCACAGTAAGTATATGCCGTATGAAGTAAACCCCTGTTTTGTTCATGTTTCTGGAATACTGTAAAATGCCTAATGTTCGCGACGGATTAATGTTCGCTATTTTCGCCAGAAGTGCGTAACGCAAATATTAACCATCGTAAATCAAGCTTCAACAGTGGGTGTATATAGGTGTCCCCTGTGCTTTGCGACCTTTTGCCATCGCAAACTTGTTGGTTCTAAGAAATCGCGAAAATTTAGTGACGCGAATATTGGGCGATTTACAGTAGTTGAAAGCTCGGCTGCTGTTCATTATGATTTGGCTGTGAGCTGCGCTTGGTGGGTCTCTACATTTGTGTCATTCTTCGTCCGCACTACGTACACGCCAGTGTCCGAGTTCAAAAGGCCCACTGGCACCACACAACAGGACAGCTAGCTCCATGGACCTGCAGGCGGGGAAGACCATTGGACATGCATTCGTAGTGCGTTTGTACGTGCGGCTGTTCATAGTCCCATAGGCCTGTCCATGTGGCTCTGCAACAAGATACATAGCCACGGCAGGTGCACTTGCAGCATTACGATGCAATGCGAGTTCGATTATGAAGATATGAGAGTTCATTCTTGTAGGCAGCATATTCTTGTACACGACCGCACTATAACCGATATGTACTGTAACAGTTTAGGGCAAGGAACAAAGCAAATATCGCCTGACGTATGTGTTTTGTTCGGAAGTTTGAGGAAAGTTGAGAGCGGAAAAGTCTGCAGAAAAAATTGACTGCCATCACCAGAACTACAGTAAAACCTGGTTTAAGCGACCACTCCGCGGTGCAAGCAAAAGCGGTCGTTAAAGCCAGGTGGTCTTTAGAACCAGGTCCCACAGTGTCTGTGTAGAACTGTCAGTGCATGGAAAAATGGTCCGTGTTAAGAGCAGGTGGTCGCTAAACCCAGAGGTCGCTTACACCAGGTTCTACTGTATAGCTGTGATGGTCCGATGATATTTGGGATCATTTTAGTAAACAAATTCTGAAATGGACTGCGGTATCCCTACTGAGCAAGTGTACGTCTTGGAAGGCTGTGCTCCAGTTGTGTTCTACTTCATCTGACCGTGTCTTGCATGTGTACTGTGTTATGTTAAGGTTTCAAGACAAAGTGCCTGGGTACAGATAAGGCAATGTACACCTGGATTGCTCTCGCCGGCTTGCCGTGTCATCCACACCTCGACGGTGACAGCTGCCAGAAGAAAACGAACTTGACGCATGCCCGCCAGATGTGCAAGAGAAGAGGATACGACGTGGTAGACTATAATGCCTTCACCAGTCAGATGCTTGGCGTGCGAGACTGCATGGAAGCATTGCTCAACAAGATGATGGCAAGCAATTTCAACAACCCTATCACAATATGGACATCTTTCTTGAGGGATGGCAAGCATGTCATTTACAAGGAGGGCAAGAACAACTTAAGAGAAGAGTTACATGATAGTAGTGGAGCAAGCCATCTTGATTTCGAGATGATGGCGAGCGGTGACAGCAACCCTATCTCCCTATGGTCAGGGCAAGAACAAGTTAAGAACAAGTTGAGAGAAGAGTTACATGATAGTAGTGGAGCAAGCCATCTTGATGTCAAGATGATGGCGAGCGGTGACAGCAACTCTATCTCAATATCGGCATCGCTCGAGGAGGATGACCAAAATATCATGTACCAGCAGGGCAAGAACGAGTTAAGAGAAGAGTTACTTGATAGTAATGGAGCAAGCCATCATGATGTCATCTGCGAAGGTAGGCTGTTGCATTGTCCACCCAGCCCCATGCCTGCAAATATTGGCCGACACCTGAACCTGTCTCAGAATAGGGGTGAAATGGTAGCATTGACCTTTCCGTTAGACCGGGTTTTATTGAGCATGACTAGATTGTGGGCACCCGTTATTTAGATTTATTTCATAATTTTTGTCAAAAAGGCAGAAGAGACCAGAGAGAATCGGTTAAATAATTGTTGTAATGCTTCGTTTCATGCACAAAGTGGAGCTAAGGCAGTCCTTTGTTGGATCGCTCCATCCTGGTGGTGTTGAGTACTCTAGGCCATCTGGGAATGCTCGCTGTTGTCATTGCGTTTGTTATACATAGAGTCGTCCCTCTCTAATCTGGCACCTTTTGCAATGGAATTCTCTGCTGGATAAACAAGGGTGCTGGATTATAAAATCCTGCCCTCCAACCCGGCCCACATGCTATGATACATGTTTGTGTCGCATGTCAAAACATAGGGATTTTCTGTGTCAAACCAAGTACTTTGTGGAATCATGGAATGCATGTCTATAACATACACTTGGGAATATCTTATGCACTAGCATAGGATATTTATTCCCAAATGTATGTTACATGTGTTGTGTATGTTACAATTAGGGCTGAAACGATCATCCATATAGCCCAATCGATTACTCTTTATCATAACGATCGATTATTCGATTATAATCTTTAAGAGGCCGCACCTGGAATATGTACGTAGAATGGCCAAAAGTGGAAATATGTACAAAATTTTGCACAAAAAAAGTGTTATGTATGCAGACCGGACGCGACCTTGACCTTCGAGCTAGTACTAGTAGTAGTAGTAGTAGTAGAATTTATTATTTTACTAGGAAACTCCCAACAGGCGTTGCCTTTTTACTGGGAACCCTAGGAATGACTTGGTGCTTGTGACAAATGCAGAAAGGGGCTTAGCTTGACGACATCCAGCTTCATGCTCCAGCTTCGTTGTACTACACTAGGACTGTTTTTCGATTTTTGACAGCATGTAACAAGGCGAGTCGCGCGTGCAGTGCGTAAGAAATTGAAAATTAAAAAAAACGCAAAATAATTGTAATCGGTAATCTAAACGATTGCTCGATCGTTAGAGTTATCAAACGAGTACTCGATTATTCGGTATAATCGTTTCAGCCCTAGTTACAATGGTCCCTGACAGTATGCAATGTACAACTGCTGGGTTAGAAAATCAAATTATGTACAATTTGAGTGGTTTGTTGCAGAAAATCGCTGCTGGAGGCAGAATTCAAGTGCCGGATTAAAGGGTAGTAAAAGAACTGAAAAAATTCGTTTTGCCAGAAAGTGTGCTGGTTTGCAAGGGTGCTGGATAAACAAGTGCCGGAATAGAGAGGGACGACTGTATGCCCTATTGCCTACTGTATGTGCCCTTGTTTTGCAGCCAAGTGGCTTCACGCCAACTCCTCAGTATACACCACAGCAACGCCAGCGCTGAGGCCCAACGTCACTGAGCAATTCGCAGAGGAGGCATGTGAGCAGTACGGACTTCACCTCATAACCGGGGCCTGGCTGCAAGCACATGGCCATGTATTAAGAGAGAGCTTCCTAGATAGATTGGCTATTCGGCAAGCACCTTATCACGTCAAACCAATCGTGGTGAACGGCAACTCCCTTTACAGAACCGTAACGTTTAGCGAGGGGAAACAGAGGTTTGTGAACACCACAAGCAATCACCGAGCCCAAATCCTCTGTGTCGGTAAGTGAGATGTCTTGAACTTTTAAAAGCAAAACGATAAAATGATAGCATATGCCTAACAAACTCGGCAACCTGCTCCACTGTGACTGTTTAAGGAACTTTTCACCGTACCTGTGGCTTACCATGAGGTCAGAAATGACGTACTGCACGAATTACGCTCCCACAGGAACCACCCCGAGTTGCACACTCTGGTTTATGTAATCTTGTCGTTAGTGTTTGGCACAAAACGCATAACTTGTAAACCTTGGGTCCTTTCTTTTTAATTTTTTAATCGTTGCCTTTCCATCCGAGTCTGACCTATTATTATTATTATTATTATTTAAATTTTGAAATGGGCAATCTCCACAGGCGAATTGTATCATATTTATCAATGAAAAATATCAATTGTGCACTCATAACCATGTATAGAAAAGCAACATTAAACGCAATGCACCTACAAACATAACGCTTGCGAAGCACATTATTCAGACATTCAGTCTGATCGTGAGTGTATCTCCGTTTAAAGTAGTTAAATAACCGACGAGGACGGGCAAGCGTTATGTTTGTAGGTGCATTGCGTTTAATGTTGCTTTTCTATACATGGTTATGAGTGCACAATTGATATTTTTCATTGCTATTTTACGACTGTTGTCTCCTCGTCGGTTATTTAAATGTATCATATTTGTTTATGAATGGCTGTTACGAGTAGATCTACTAACGGTTACATGTGTTTTTGTCCTAGTACTATTTTCGAGTGCTGGCTTCAGTGCTTCAACAGTGTTCACGCCCCAGTTTGCTTGCAAGCGGAAGTTGCCTGGTAACTTTGTGTAGTCTAATTTCTCTATCTCCACTGCTCATTGCGTAACCAAACCGTGTATTTCCTCTGTTTCACGCCATGTTGCGTGTATGCGGTGGCTGCTGCAGCGTGCAAGTGTTTGAACCAGGGTCAGTGTGACGACAAAGGCAAATGCATCTGCCCGAAGGGATTCACTGGAGACAATTGCCAGAAGGGTAAGTAGAAGCAGGCGTCCATAACCCCAAGAGTTTGCAACTCTGTACATGGGGTCCGCGCGGCGGAATTCCAACATTACGTACACGTTCGTTGCGCTTGTACTACTCCCTGGTGCCAAACAAAAAATCCAAGCACCGCGGAATGCAGAGTTTTGTCCTCTGTCCCTCAGTGGCATGACGTTATGTTGGAATTTCGCCACGCAGTGGGCCTGCAGCAGCCAGACAACCAGTTGCACACCCTTGGGGTTATGGACTCTTGGTAGAAGTGAATTTCCTTACCGATCTGAACACTTCTTCTTCTTCTTTTAACATGTACGCTTCACATTCACATCAAGTTCTCTCGCATGTTTGTCACTATTGTAATAATGCATGGTTAGTACTCTTGGTTGCCATATTAAAGTTGCTGTCTCCGAAATGCTTGTTTGAATTTGTTTACTTCAAGTGTTTCCTTTACATTGCATGCAATTCTCAAAGTATACCTTTCGTGTGAACATGGCCTCCCCTGACTGTGTGTAGGCTTTGGAGTTGTTCCGGTTGGCCCTGATTATGTAGTCCTTGTTCTAGTTTCTATTTTGAGTGAAAGTCGACAGAAGAAGTATACCGGTTCATCAAGCTCTTGCTAGGAATAAGAACACAGAACACATGTGCATCAGCAAACCTGCTATTTTTGTGCGGTCAAAATGCTCATCCGTCCGCAATGTGTTACATCTCCCTGGTCAATTGTCCAGTCTCTTGCCTCTTGGAGCTGCATGGGAGCCTTGACCCTTGAGGGGTGGGGTATTCCTATAGATGTGGAAAACTCGGCCTGCAGCCGAGTGGCACGCAAACTGTGCATGTTTTTCCTCTTATACTAGTAAAATAAAGAATTTGATAACCGCAATCAGTAATACAAGCTGGATGGACATTTGTGTACACTTTGTTCATGTAATGTAAAACTGTGGAGACAATGTGCAATAAAACGATGAAAATGTGAAGAAATTGTGTAGAGGAAAAAACGAAAGGGACTCAAACAAGTTTTCGTACAACACTCATCAGGAATCTTCGTTGTACTAAAGGACACTGAAAACTGCATTGAACTATTATAGAAAATGTAAGTTAGAGAAATAACACTAAGAACAACAGCAGTGAATTTTACAAACACAACAAAGACCGAAGCGAGGGCGACCTAGAAAACAACCGTTACCTACACAACTTGCGGATCCTGGCTCACAGACTGTGCTTGCTCCGCCGTCGCTGGTGGCTGTGGTGGAGGAGGGTGGTCGTGGTGGCTCATCGGGCCGGCTTGTGTCGCCGCCTTTGCTACTGCCGTCGGTGGTTCCTTCACTGGTGCACCCGGCTGCTTTGGCTGGGGTGGTGCCGCTTGCGGTCCCGGTCCCACTGCCTCCTCCTGATCCTCCGCCGTCGGCTCTTGCTGCGGTGGAGCTTGCCAGTGACAGACCGCGAGCAACACCGGCAGTGGCGTTACCACTACAATTGCCTACCCAAAAAGACCCACCTTGCGTATCAGCAGCTCCCACACCATCACCAACAATGCAATCTACAGCAACCACAACTAATCCACCATCCAAGCCCACTATTGAAAGACCAAGACGATCAACAGCCAACTACAACAGAAGCTACGCACTCAACGGACAAGGGCGTAAGGAGGGACGTGACAGCAGGGTGACGGCCGAGTCACGTTCAATGGACCAAGTCAGGCGGGATAACAGAGAGAGCGCAGAGAAAGCGGATGATGGGACGGACGGTGAAGGGAGCAGAGAGTCGGAGAGCGACGATTGTACTGATCGTGAGAGTGCCGGTGAGAATGTTAGTGTTGTGCGTAGGTTTCGTGGTAGCAAGTCTTCAATGTACAATCATCTGTTGGCTAGTCCTGATTGTTGCAATTCGTATTCCGACTCTTCTTTCACTTTATTGTTCCGTGGTCGTCATGGTTATAGATTACAGTTAAAAGTTTTTAGAAGCCATCTGTCAGCGTCTGTATAAGCCTAATTTGTGTGTACAGAAAGATAGTATAATTGGGTTGAAATTGTTCAAGTAAAGTGTCATGTTTGGTGCGGCCAAGCTTGGCCGTTAATGTTCTAGGTGTAATGTACTGCTGTTATTTGTTATCACTTTGTCCTTCATTCTTTCTTTCTCTTCTTTTTTTCGTATTTCAGTTGCAAGTTTAGTGTTGGTACACACATTCGTTATTGCTCTCGCTTTCATTGTTAAAATTCACTCTTGTAAATTTCACTGCTGTTGTTCTTAGTGTTATTTCTCTAACTTAGATTTTCTATAATAGTTCAATTTTGTTTTCAGTGTCCTTTAGTACAACGAAGATTCCTGATGAGTGTTGTACGAACACTTGTTTGAATCCCTTTCCTTTTTTTTTCTCTACACAATTTCTTCACATTTTCATCGTTTTATTGCACATTGTCTCCACAGTTTTACATTACATGAATAAAGTGTACACAAATGTTGATCCAGCCTTGTATTACTGATTGCGGTTATCAAATTGTTGTCTCCTCGCCGTTTGTTCAAAATAAATAATAATAAATTATTTTTCCCTCTGTCTACTTGTCTGTCCTTCTTGTGTCTGGCTAATCTCTGGCTGTTCTCCCTCTTTCTTGTGATATGCGATGCAGTTGTGTGCACACATCCCTGGGTGAAAAAGAACAAAGTATGCGAATGTAAACCCAGACTAAATGGACCTAACTGCACAGAAGGTAAGGGCTGAAGAAAGCTGCTGTAATATATTATGTGCCGGCGTGTCAAAGAATGTATGACCCATGGGAACATACATGCCGTTATATTGTATTTGAAGCCAAAGATACACTTCCGAGTTTGTATGCCGGATTGCCCAACGTACTGTGACCGTAAAAGTGGCTGGAATTTTGTTCTATCCACGTGCAATACATGATACAGTCATGTGGGCATCGGTTGGATATACGTGGGAGTGTTGTAATCTGGCTGTTCATGTAGCTATGTACTGGTGGGTACAGTGTCATGATGATCAAGATACATGTAACAATGTCTCGAGAATCCCATATGCTATGTTGTTCTGCCACTATTCGTTTGTTTTTGGAAAATATGTGCATCCAATCACTGCTGCAGCATGCAATTGCCTGAATAATGGTCAGTGTACTGAAGACGGCATCTGCGTCTGTCCGACCGGATTCCGCGGAGAACAATGTCAGGACAGTAAGTGTCTCTGTTTGGTTTTGATTAGCTATATTTTTCTTCACCAGAAGCACAGGCAAAATCTGCCTTCTCACTGGGCGTGTTGCCACAGTTGCAAAATGATGAAGATAGTGATACTGATAAGAAAAAGAGAAAGAGGAAAATGCAATCATGAACAAAGCCCAAAGAGAAGACGGAAACAAATCAATGAGGGTATCTGCAATGTGAAGTGAGTATGTAACACCACACCTGCATACATTCACTTAAAAACACACACACATACACACACACACACGCACACACACACACACACACACACACACACACACACACACGCACGCACACACGCACACACACACACACAAATACACACCGGCATTTGCACAATTACTCTACCCGAGCAGAGCAGTAGTGCTGGACTACAAGTATTGCTTTTCAGCAAACTCACAGTCAAAGCCGTTTTCTATTTTTTAAGAAGAACAATGGCTTTGCCACCTCTCTGTAGATGCTTGGAGCAAAAGGTTCCTTCCTAAGGGCATGCAGACTCCATTGTAGGCACTTCATATTTCACACAGTTAGTATTATAGAGTTATGCTAAAATGATGTGACGTTATTGGACTCATTTACCCACTTACCTACTGTTTACACAAAAATGGGATTAACTGATTCCAGTGCATTTGTCTCCACAGCATTTGATCATAGTGGTCCGGAATTCCAGAAAGAGAATTGATATGTACTCACCGTAGTGTCGTGTATTACCGCCGAGCGTATTCCTGTGGAAGCCGATTTCAGGGCTAGGCTTCTATTCAGTATTCATATCAAGCTTCTATTCAAACCAGGTATTTATATGTGCATCAAACACTAAAACCAGGCTTGTGTGCCAAAAGTGTTTTCTGAAAATCAGACCTCTATTCACAACAGGCTTCTATAATTATGATAACCGCTATCAATAAAATTAGCTGAACCGACATTTGTGTGTTTTATTCATGCAATGTAAAAAATACGGTGGAGACGATGTGCAATAAAACGATGAAAATATGAAGAAATGGTGAGGAGAAAAAAATCGATTCAAACAAGTTTTCGTACAACACTCATCAGGATTCGTCGTTGTACTAAAGGACACTGAAACAAAATTGAACTATTATAGAAAATCTAGGTTAGAGAAATAACACTAGGAACAACAGCAATGAAATTTACAAGTGTGAATTTTAACAATCAAAGCGAGAAATTAACAAACAAGAGAAAGAAAGAAGGAAGGACAAAGTGATAACACATAACAGCAGTACATTTCACCAAGAGTTCATGAAAACCAGAGTGTGCAGCTCGGATGGGTGGCTGTCACTGCAGAATTCCGTGATTACATCATTTTAGTGATGTAGCAGGATTCAAGCAGGTCTCTTTCTGCACAACTGCAGCTCAGTTGTACGCATTTCCCGCCTCAGATCTGGGCTAAATATGATGTAATCACGGAATTTCGCCGTGACAGACATCCATAGCAGAAAAGGCCCCAAGCTGCACACTCTGATTTTCATGTACTCTTGATTTCACTTAGAACATTAACGTCCAAGCTTGGCTGAACCAAACACGACACGTTACTTGAACAATTTCAACCCAATTATACTATCTTTCTGTACACACAAATTTGGCTTATACAGACGCTGATACATAGCTTCCAACACTTGTAACACTTGTAACTAGTTTCAGTGAATAAAATACACAAATGTCGTTTCAGCTAATATTTTTGATTGCGGTTATCAAATTATTTTCTCCTTGCCGTTTGTTTCTATATGAGATAGGCTTTAATACAAGGCACTACGGTATATCATAATTAGTACAAGCCTTCATCCTGTTGGTAAAAAGGCATAAATGAGAATGTGTGTGACTTTCACAGGCCCCAAATATAGAGGATTCGTTACCCACTAGCAAAATAATGGGATTAACAGCTTGTCGTTATAGTGCTTCAACCTTGAAAATTTGAAAAACAGTCGGACAGAAAGGGTTTTTTGGCCATCGTAATATTTTTCTCCTGTACCTGAATCTGTTGTACATGTCTGTGTGCTGTGCTGTGTTCAGATTTCAGGACAAAGTGCCTGGGTACGGACAAGGTGATGTACACCTGGACGGCTCTCGCCGGCTTGCCGTGTTATTCAGGCAGCTGCCCGAAGATAACCAGTTGGACGAAAGCCAGAGACGCATGCAGTGATAGGGGATATCAGCTGGTCGACTTTAAAACCTTCACCTTGCTTGGCTCAAAGCTTGGTGTGCGTGGCTGCGTAAAGTCATTGCTCCACGAGATGATGGTGAACAGTAACAGCAGCCCGATCACGATATGGACATCATCCGAGTACAATCGTCGGCGTATTATTTACAAGCAGGACAAGAACAAATCGAGTGGTGCAATATTTAGTGTTCATGGGTTCGGCCGTCACAATGTCATCTGCGAAGGTAAACAATTGCTTGTTTTAAAGCGATATCATTGGACGGGCAAATGGTGAGAATGCTGAGTAGCACACAGTGCATTATGTCAAATGATAATGACGGGACAAGAAAGTATGAAACAAAGAGACAACAAGAGTGCAACCACCTGGGTTTCTCACATCAATGGCACACCTACCGTTATAGCCAGGGTCAGACCCACACATGCGTAACCAATTGATTTCACCTGCGAAGAAGCATTTCATGCGAATGCTTGTGTCATAACTCGGTGTTATACTACTCCCTTGGTAGAACCGCTGAATGGTTTGCAAATGTGACACGGTACTGCTCTATGAAGTCTGGCGAGCCCCAGGCCTGTGAACATTGAACTACTCACTAGCTCTGGGCACTTCCGTATCCAAGAGATCGGGTGTCATCAAGCACGATATTAAATTCACAATAGCGAGAATTTCAGTTGTCTGAGGATTGCTTTAGGGGGCGTTCGTTTTTGATCTACAGGTTTGGGTAGAAACTACTTCTTTCGGTAGAGTTTTTCGTTTTTGAAAAGAAATTCGACTCAAAAGGGTAAATTCTACTTTCTTCTACCGGCTCTACCGGGAAGAAGTTGGTTGAATCCGGTAGAAGTTGGTAGAGCCACGGGATTTCCAGCAAGATCAAGGATTTGTACACAACTCCATAAAAAAAGAAACATTTCACGTACACATCGTGTAAACTACTAGATCTGGTAGAACAGCGTTCGTACACTTGCCTCTACCATCTACCTCTATGGCCACACATTTTTATTTCTATGTTTCTCGTCACGCACGCGCATACGATTTAGGAGTCTTGAAGAAAAAAAGAAAAAAACTGTGCTGCACTGACTGTGCATGTGGGGACCAGCACACTCATGCACATGTACATGATGTGGCGTGGCCTGTGCGACACACAATGCGAGGTCGGCATTTGTTGTGCGCAATCTAGCTGCACATGCACAGATTGTGATAGAAGCGCCTACCACATACTAGTTGCTAACTATGGATGCTATTTTGCATGGTGTATTGGTGGATTTTAGTGTGAACAAAGGTCTAATAAACTTTTTTTTATTCTTCGGTCATTTTTTTATTTTTCCACCTCTCGCAAACATTTTTAGATTTTCAGGTGACGAGAAAACAAGAAATAGAAACGTGTGGCCTATTGGTAAAGTGACTCTATTCTACTAGGTAGCTAAAAACGAACACAGCTTTGGCCTTGCTATTTGCACGAAACGCAGCGTTAAAGCAATAATGATGCCGCTTGTCTTAGTTCTCTTCCGCCTATTTTTGTTTCTACCCGCAACTGTATATGCCCTTGTGTTGCAGCTCAATGGCTCCATGCAAACGATTCTGTATACGCCGCAGCAACTCCAGCACTCGGACCCAGCGTGACTGAGCAGTGCGCAGAGGACGCATGTCAGCAGTACGGACTTCGCCTCATAACCAAAGACTGGTTACAAGAACATGGCCATGTGTTAAGAGAACGCTGGCTAGAGAGATTGGCTTTAGATAAGTCCGACGGATTAGGTTACCACGTCGCGCCAATCCTGGTCAATGGTCAGTCCCTTTACAGAACAGTAAAATTTAGCAGACAACATGTGACGTTTAAGAACGAAACAAGCCATGAGGATGCAAAGATTCTCTGTGTCAGTAAGTGAGAGAATAATAAGTGACTGTCTTCTGCAATGGCTGTCCATGCACAAGCTATGTTTGGTCCCTGTTTGTGCCGCTAACTTGATGAATATAGTTGTGCGTTTGTTTAAAAGTGTCCCGTCGCTACGTGCACTGTATGAACAGGGCTTATGCCAACAATGTGCCCACTTGCAATGTGCAAACATGTCGTCTCCCAGCATTTCTTGCACCCACGGTGAATCACAACATTGAGAACACTCCGAGAACTGAGATTCAGGCTGTGTTTCTTCGGTGTCTTCCCAGGGTAACTCCGAAGTCATTACAGCATGTTTTGATTCTAAGGATTTGTTTGGCGCAATATCAGTTTGTGGCAGAGACGGGGGAGAATTTACTCCGTGGATTCCAATTGCGAGGAATCAAAATGCATGACAAGCTGAAGTTCGACATGCCACCAGGGTTGAGAGAATTTACAGACAACTTTTTGTTCTTGTCAAGAAACAGGGGGAATTCCCATGACTGTCACCACGTGAGGAGGTGAAAGTTTACTACTTGACGTAAACTCCCCGGCGAGGGCTGAAACCCTACTATTTGCAGACGGAGCTAAGAACTTTCCTAGGCAAATAGACCTTTCGATTGCTCAATTCCATTCAGGGAAAGCCGAGTTCCGAACATTTGAGCATCTGCAGTATGTACTGCACAGTAATACGGATGTATCTATCGTACAGCAAGAGTTCAGAAATCGTGTTGGAAGTGTTATGGTGTCATGCATCCCGTTCTATGGTACCGTGCCTTGCTGCCATGCTTCCCTTCTATGGTACTGTGCCTTGCTGTCATGCATCCCGTTCTATGGTACCGTGCCTTGCTGTTATGCATCCCGGTCTATGGTCTATGGTACCGTGCTTTGCTGTCATGCATCCCGGTCTATGGTACTGTGCCTTGCTGTCATGCATCCCGTTCTATAGTACCGTGCCTTGCTGTCATGCATTCCGTTCTATGGTACCGTGCCTTGCTGTCATGCATCCCGGTCTATGGTACCGTACCTTGCTGTCATGCATCCCGTTCTATGGTACCGTGCCTTGCTGTCATGCATCCCGGTCTACGGTACCGTGGGATCCCGACATGCATCCCGTTCTATGGTACCGTGCCTTGCTGTTATGCATCCCGGTCTATGGTCTATGGTACCGTGCTTTGCTGTCATGCATCCCGGTCTATGGTACTGTGCATTGCTGTCATGCATCCCGTTCTATGGTACCGTGCCTTGCTGTCATGCATTCCGTTCTATGGTACCGTGCCTTGTTGTCATGCATCCCGTTCTATAGTACCGTGCCTTGCTGTCATGCATCCTGATCTATGGTACCGTGGGTGTAAAAGCCCAAGAACAACTCGTCTTGTTAAATACTGCGTGACAGGTTTTTTTTAGATAAGCTGTTATCCCCATTCTAGTGTTATAGCAGGGCTGCCACTTGCTCTGGTATTTTGGAAATCGTCCAATTTTTGATCCCCTGTCGGACAAACCGACCGATTTTATTTTGAGCACATTTTAGTCCAGTTGGCCATTCGGCGCTTCCAGGTCGCGTTTGTCCAGTCATTGTACATGTACATGTACATGTAGCTGTAAAATGTTTGTACCGTTAAAAATGTGTTCTGGGGCCACAACAGCAAGCCATTTTCCTAAATATTTTCAGCCGGGGGACACCCCAGACCACCGTCAGATTTTTCTCCCTCCAAGTGTGGCAGCCCTGTTATAGACTGCATAAGAGTAATCCAATATTGACTTTTATTGTCTTTTTCTGCACAGAGTCCTGTGGGGGCGGTGTTCTTGCACCAAACATGAGTTGTATATGTAACCGCACCATGGCCTACGGTGAAGAATGTGAAAAGGGTAAGACAGTAAGCCATTAGGTTTGTGTGCATGTGTGTGTATATGTGTGTATATGTCTGTATGTGCGCATATGCATATCTGAATGTGCGTGTATGTGCGTGTTTGTGTGTGTATGTGTGTGTAGGTGCGTGTATGTGTGGGTAAGCGATTACAGGGGCAAAGCCACTTGTCCGGTTGGTCCTGCTTTCACCGGACCACTTTTCGGGCCGATGTTTCCTTTTCTCTTTCTAGAGAGCTGATTGGAGTTCAGCGATCGATTGGGCACAGTACCATGTGCATTATGTACACAGCACCGTCTAGGGAGACCTGCATGTACTCTGCTTTATATGTAGGGCTCTCAGGGACAGACTGGCGGCACAGGGTTTTTTTTGCTTCATGTTGATCGAGAGTCGGAGATGGCTGCGAAAAACTTGAAAGCGTCTGTTCCTGAGATTTCTTTTATTCCCATAGCCAGCAATGTTTTTAGTTTCCAAAACAATTGTGCGAGGAAACGAAACCTGTAATGTGCGCTTCTAAGCCCTAATGGTTCACAATCTTGGCTTTCCTGGATTATGATAAGGGTACAGATTCAGTGCTTTGCCACACGACTGTCTATTCTTCCGGCCACAAACTCCACATTAGAGCGGTTATTCCGTGCATTTTGTCACCTGAAGACGTCACAAGGCCATCTCCATCATCATCATCTGATGGTTTTACAGTATCATCAAGACGGACGAGAAAAAAGTACTTTCTCCAAGTTTAGGTCATATCATCTTAACTGCAAGTTAAGGCCACTTACTACACAGGGACCTTCCGTGCATTATTTCTGCGTCACTCACTCCATGCATGTGCTTTTTTCCCTGCCTGTTGCAGCATGCAAGTGCTTGAACCAAGGTGAGTGTGATGCCAAAGGTGAATGCAGCTGCACCAGGGGATTAACGGGCCACCATTGCCAACTCGGTAAGTAGAAGTGAATTCGTTTTACTCATTTCATAATTCATATGGCTGGCGTGGGATTTTCAGAGCGTACATCCATGTAAAAGTGGGCTCCCCTTTACCTTACGTGTACGAGTAGGCTTCGCGGTAGTTTTAACAGGGGTGATAGAGAACTAGGACATGTATACTGGTCTTTTTGAGTACTCGCTTGAAATAAGAGTGTTGGGGTGAAACGAATATTCTAAATCGTACCGAATATTCTGTAAACGAATTGAATAAGTATTGCCGAAGTAGCACCAACCCTGTCTTCAAATTGGATACCGGATATTCTATAGTTTGTTTGTTCTCACATCCCTGAAGAATATGTAGACAGTTCTGTCTGGTTCAGCCTTGTGAGCCATAGTCCTCTTTCCCAGCATGCCAACCACCGCATTCTACTGCCATGTACTTGAGGTCACAAAATTTCAGAAATTTTCGGTGCTCAATATTTTCGGTATGAGGGCAACAGGCTAGGGTAGGTGGACAGAAAATTCGGTACAGAGAAGCAGTTCCCTATTGGATTATGTGTGTTAGTGTTTGTTTAGAGTCTTGAAATTTTACGTATGAAACAGACGCACCGAAAGTACCGAAAATAAAAGTACACAGAAAATTTGTTAAAATAACAGCACCCTAATAGAGAGGTTCGGCACTACGTAAAGCTGAGCAACTTTACGTTAGAGGTACATATTTAGGACTCTCTAGCCAGGTCGACCCGGTCATATACTACTGCGTTCCAAGCTGCCAAGGGCAGGTACGTAATTCGAAAACTCCATAAGGCGGAACACAGGTGCGCATGAAGTGGGACTCTCCATTCATCGACTAATTATGTTGTGCGGAACCTCTCTAATGTTGTAAGCTATAACCTCACACGGACCAAGTCAATGACTGCAATATTAGGCTGCGTTTACATGAAAATGCACGGCCAGTTTTCCATTTTCGGTCCCGCATTTCTTCTTTCGTTTTCGTGCGTTTACATGGTCAAAGCTGATCCGAGGTGGTCTCCGTTTGTATCGTTTTCGCGCGTCTACACGGGAGCAAAGGATCCGCAAACGTCCGTCATGTGCCAAGTGTTGTCGTGGAAGCACCAATCACACTCCAGGAATAGGCCACAAAACAACACTCGTCACATGACGAAAATTGTAAAAACAATTTTTTGGATTGCCAGATCCGTGTAAACGGCCGAAAACAAAACAAACGTGACGGAAAACGAGGCCAGCATACCGTTTCGACTGTTTACACACTCAAATTTATCCTGCAGAACATTTCCGTTTTCAAATTCTTCCACCTTGGCCAGCGCTTTGGTTTTCTTCCATTTTGGTCTACAACTTTTACGTTTTGCTCTTCGTACCGTGTAAATGAACCATGCATCCGAAAGGATTTTGTTGCGTTTTCACGCCCAGCTTTGTCGTGTAAACGCAGCCTTACTTGCACATGCAAAATGTCCAAAACCAAAACACTATGTATTCAGATCTGAACCGAATGCTTCGAATTGTTATCCAAAGGAACAATTCCAGAATATTCAGAATTCGTTTCACTCCTAAATGACACAACAAAAAAGCACGAACAGTTCTCCGGCCACACTCCAAAATAGCAATTTGTGCTACTCCTGAACTGTGAACTGTTCGTGCTGTCGTCTGCAAGTGCTCTGGTTTGGTCTGGTTTTGTCAAAATGAAAAACCTATTACCATCCTCTGTCTTAAGTTGGTCATGTCACGTTGTGCTTCTGTCGTCATTTTGTTTGTTAGCAAAGTTTCAATTGTCTGAGTGTGCCGCAGAGCAGTGATGATAATTGACGCTATATACTGATAGCACTGATTTGTAAACTGCTGCTTGTCATTCCTGCTTTAAGAGTGCTTACCTTCCAGCAGCAATTTTATCTTTTGGACGAAGGCCATTATGATCGAAACTCAGATTTATCCAAGTTTCCCTGGTCCAGCCTCTTTTACTTTATAATTGTCTTTAGTCTGCCTGACTCCGTTTCCGGCTGATTCACTCACTCGTGTTCTTCCTCTTCGGTGTGTGCTATGTGATGAATGCAGTTGTGTGCGAGGAACCCTGGGTGAAAAAGAGCAAAGTGTGTGAATGTCAACCGGGACTAGATGGACCCAACTGCACAGAAGGTAAGGGCTAAAGAAAGCTACTGTAATATGCCTGCGTGTCAAATAATGTATGATCCATGGGTTCATGCATGCTGGAATGTTGTGTTCGGAGTCGAGAAGAAGAAAAAAACTTCCGTGTCCTCATGCCAGTTCCTCCAACCATTTCTACCTCTTTATTCTATTCATGTGGAATAAATAATGCATATTTATGGGGAGTTGGTCACTCTCATGAGTTGAGCTATTTTGTTGTCAAGAGTTAATTTAACATCTCCATGTTATCATGTTCAAGGCCATGTCAAGAACCCGCTTTTCTGTTCCTCTCTTTGTGCTTTTTTGGAAATGCGTGAATATTCCCAATCACTGCTGCAGTATGTAATTGCTTGAATGACGGTCAGTGCACTGACGATGGCAGTTGCAACTGCCGGAACGGTTTCCATGGAGACAAGTGTCAGCATAGTGAGTATTATGCTGTATGAAGTGAATTCCAGTTTGCTGGCATATTTCTGTGAAATGTGGGAATACCTGTACACATTAAAGAGACGTTGGTTTTTTTTATCTACAGGTTTGGGTAGAAACTATTTCTTTCGGTAGAGGCGTTCGTTTCTTCTACTCAAAAGGGTGGGTTCTACTTTCCTCTGCCGGCTCTACAAGGAATTAGTTGGTTGAAGCCGGTAGAAGTTGGTAGAGCTACGTTTGCTGTGCATATTTCTGTGAAATGTGGGAATACCTGTACATATTAACGGGGCGTTCGTTTATTGATCTACATGTTTGGGTAGAAACTATTTCTTTCGGTAGAGGCGTTCGTTCCTTCTACTCAAAACTTCAAGTCAAAAGTGTGGATTCTACTTTCCTTTACCGGCTCTACCAGGAAAAAGTTGGTGGAAACCGGTAGAAGTTGGTAGAGCTACGGGATTTCCGGCAAGATCAAGGATTTGTACACCTCCATACAGAATAGAAACATTTCACGTACATATCGTGTAAACTAATAAATCCGGTAGAATAGCGTTTGTCCACTTACCTCTACCTTCTTCCTCTATGGGTAGAGTGACTCTACTTTACCAGGTAGCTAAAATCGAACGCAGTTTATAGCTGAGAGCTATTAGAATGGATATGCTAAGGTCTGATCCTTCCAACAAGGCCAAGATGATGAAAGGCTATCAAGGTGAAATGAGAGGACAAAATGTAATGTTTCGTCCTGAACTGTGGGTCAAACGATACCGGGAGAGAAAGTGCACTGGAAAGTCAGTTTGCGGGAGGAAATGGAGCTAAATGGGCGAGTGGTATTTGCATAGGTAAATATTTTTCAATTGAACTATGGTACCGCTGCTTAGGAAGTGTACATCTTGTTTATGTGTGCTTTCTACTTCACCTGACTGTGCCTTGCATGTGTACTGTGTTATGTTCAGCTTTCAAGACAAAGTGCCTGGGTACAGATAACGCAACGTACACCTGGATGGCTCTCGCCAGCTTGCCGTGTCATCCACACCTCGACCGTGACAGCTGCCAGAAGAAAACGAACTTGACGCATGCCCGCCAGATGTGCACAAGAAGAGGATACAACGTGGTAGACCATGATTCCTTCACCAATCAGACGCTTGGCGTGCGCGACTGCATGGGAGCATTGCTCAACGAGATGGTGACGAGCGGTTACAGCAACCCTACTTCAATATGGACATCGTTCGTGAAGGATGACCAACATCTCATATACCAGCAGGGCAAGAACAGTTTGACTAAAGAATTGTATGACAGTGATGGAACAAGCCATCATGATGTCATCTGCGAAGGTAGGCTGTAGGATTGTGATCAAATGAACCCGTGAGAGAGATACTCAGTAGCCAGCAACCATGTGATAGAAAGTAATACTATGCATGGTTAGCATTTTACGATTCACGCGATTTGCGACGGTCGACCTGTACCCGTTTGTTGTGTGTGTAGACATTTTTAGCATTTAACCGTTCACTCTAAATCCAACCGTACTCGTACCCAACACCCAAAATACCATTGGTTTGGCACCGTTTCGACGATAGAAAGCTCTGTTTAGCGGAAGAACGAAACGTTAGGATTCCAACTAGGGTACGTCACAAGTCGATCGTTGTGTCAGAAACCGAAATGCTAACCAGTGTCTAGAAATCACACACAAAATGGTACAGGCCGACGTACGGTCGAAGTCAATGTGAATGGTAAAATGCTAACCATGTCTATTGACAGGGCTAGAGGACTGACACAGAGAGGCGATGCCAAGAGTGATTACAACCTTCATTTAGGTTTCCCACTCCTATGGGAAAACCTACCCATCTAGCCGGAGTCGGACCCAGACGCGAGTTACCAATTCACCCCATCTGCTAAGAAACACTTCATGTCTATGCTTGTGTCATAACCCGGCATAACGGTGACAACTGGGACGTTCATGAATTAATCTTTGCATACTTTATTCCATTTGTTCGTTAGAAAAATAACATGTCGTCGTATGCATCTACGCCGGAACTATGTATTGAACGTTTTCGTTCCCTTCTTCTCAAAACACTACAGGATAAGAAGGAAATAAACTAAGGGCATGTTTGATTGGTGAATCCGGATTCAGATTAGAATCACTGGAGCAGTCAGAACACCAGTTACCGATCAAACAGAACGGCGAATATTTTTGCCTGAAATATTGTAGAACTCATGATAGCTCACCATGCCGCGAACTTCAAAATTTACACAGAGTTCAAAGATGTTTACATTGCTCAACATGCGAAGGCAAAACAAACTTGAAAGGCAACTACAACCGGAGAAGAAGCTTCGAAGACAGCCATAAAATCAATCATGGACGTGGGGACCGCCGTGTAATGTGCAAAATCACACTTGGACCTCCATGTACATCACCACGCCCTTTTGTAATCACTGACATGCCAAAATCTATTCGAATCAAAACAAAAAACGAAACTCATTGCGTAGTCCTGTCAGGTTCTCATTGGGCGTTGCAACAAGCTCTGGCTGCTCCAGCCTCTGGGGTCGGAGTGATCAGAACATGTTCTGAACACTCCAAACCTAGAGCAGACCAGTGCAGACCAATCAAACGCCCCTGTTCTGGATCCGACCAATCAAACGCGCCCCAAGAGACTACAACTATAAAGATACAAAGTTAATTTGTTCATCACATTATTATGTCGGCATCGTACGTTTTGTTCTTAGCTTGGTTAAAACTTCTTTCTCGGGGACTGCTTTAAGTGCAGTTGCGCTCGGTGAAAATAGACCCAAAGTGCAAAGCTGGCTGCCCTGGATCAGTTCCGATTACATCATTGTATTGTACATGCGTATGCGGCCGCATTTGTCCCACTTCCACGGCGTCAATGGCCGCGCAAGTTGAAGGCACTAAATCTGCACGCTGGGCCGGGTCTCACCGAGAGCAACTGTACTGGGTAGAACCACCGAGTGGTTTGCAACAGTGACGTACTGCTGGTCACTGAGGTCGGCCCAGCCACATGCAGCTTTAGGTATAGCCAGCATGCTGCTCATCGAGATGTTTGAGTAGCGACAACCTTCATTCTTCGTATGCATGGAACATTTTTTTTCACTTTAACCTCTCGCCCCGGTTTTCGACATCGTTCTCCTTGTGTGTGTGTGTGTGTGTGTGTGTGTGTGTGTGTGTGTGTGTGTGTGTGTGTGTGTGTGTGTGTGTGTGTGTGTGTGTGTGTGTGTGTGTGTGTGTGTGTGTGTGTGTGTGTGTGTGTGTGTGTGTGTGTGTGTGTGTGTGTGTGTGTGTGTGTGTGTGTGTGTGTGTGTGTGTGTGTGTGTGCCCGGCAAATACTCAGGGTAGGGCTGAAACGATCACTGCAAAGCGGTTATCGATTACCTTCTTTTTTTAGTTCATTCCACTGACACTGCCATCAGACAAGGTTTCATTGAGTACGACTATAGAGTCCAGGGCACCCGTTATTCGAGTATATTTCATTACTAATGTACCTATTATCTGCCCACTACTGTATGTGCCCTTGTCCTGCAGCCAAGTGGCTCCATTACAACGACTCGGTATACGCCGCAGCCACGCCATCACTGAAACCCAACGTGACTGAGCAGTTTGCAGAGGAGGCATGTCAGGAGTACGGACTTCACCTCATAACCTATGACTGGCTGCAAGCACATGGCCATGTATTAAGAAACCGCTGGCTAGATAGATTGGCCCTTCGGCACGCACCTTACCACGTCAAACCAATCCGAGTGAATGGCAACTCCCATTACATAACTGTGACGTTTAGAAATCGCAGTAATCCATTTCAAAATTCCACAATCAATCGCCACGCCAAAATCCTCTGTGTCAGTAAGTGATAATTATATTTTAGAGTGGTTTTATCAATGGCTGCCCCTGTGGAAGCAATATTTTATTCATCTGTGTCTGCAACCAGCATAAGGAAATAGCATATAATGTTGGTTGCGGATACAGAGGAATAAAACATTGCTTCATTTGAGCCTTTAATTTGCCTTATAAATGAAAGACCTCATCCCAACAAATGTTTCAAGAAGATTCCCAACCTAAATCACTTTTGCAGAGCGATTTCTTGGGTACTACCGGCCGGTGAGAAGGCATGCAATCTGTCGTTATGAAAATGCCTTGAGTGTCTACAGGTTTCGTCCAAACATATATGTGCCATCGTGACTTATACCAACATGCATTGTGGCAATGCAGATTGGGACAACAGTAATTGTGCCAGTATATCATATGCCAACATCTGCTAGGCCAATGTCTGCTGTGCCGAAATATAACTATAATGTAACACCCACAGCACCACCTACCTCCTCGACCCAGTCACTCAGCGTGGGATTTCTGAATGTGTGTAGTGTTCGGCGGAAGGTAGCAGAAGTTCAAACGTTCATCTCAACACGAGGCATTCACGTTCTCGCGATAGCCGAGACATGGTTGACCCCGGATGTGTCCCATCAGGAGTTGTCCATCCCGCACTTCGAGCTATACAGAAGAGAAATACCTGATCAGCGAGGTGGCGGAGTTGCTGTGTATTATCATGAGTCACTGGCTTTTCGACAACGGGCCGATTTACAGTGCGAGCTAGAGATGCTGTGGCTGGAGATTCTAGCCCCTGGTAGACATGGAACGCTCCTCGGCTGCTGTTATCGGCCACCAAATAGTTTTGCTGCCTACTGGACCACACTGGATCAGAACGTTGAGCAAGCTGTTCATGGATGTCAGCAGTCCACTGTGGTACTTGGCGACTTCAATGTTGATTTTAGCAATCCAACTTCTCCATCTGCATCCCCTTTGTACAACATACTTTCCCACTACAATCTCTGCAATTATGTTACATCTTCAACTCGAGTCACGGCAACATCATCCACGATGCTAGATTTGTTCCTCTCATCCTCCCCATTGGATGGTATCTGTGAAGCAATACACTTAGACATAAGTGATCACTTTGCTGTGCTGGCCCGGTTGAGCATTCACACACACCACCACGTGTCATCGTCAGTAAAAACCACCAGACGTCTCCATCGAGTAAACTGGGACAGTTTCAGTATCGACCTCCAGAGGAAACAGCAGCAAGACTTTGATGCCCACAGCAATATCCATGATATGGTTCATTCTTTCACTTCTTCTATCATGTCCACACTAGACCAGTATGCACCATTGGTACCCCAGCGTAAACGCACACGCCGCCCATGACTGATGAGCTTGTGGGTGCAGTTCGTAAACGTAATCATTTACACCGGCTCCTCATGAGAGATCAAGCGAATGTACAATTGCGTGATCAGCATAGAGAAGCTCGGGCCATGGCCCGTCGACTCGACAGGAAACTGCGCAACCAGTTCTTCACTGAACAATGCCGAACGAGTGACCAGCGCAAACTGTGGAGAGCGTTGAATGTTGTAACTGGCCGTCAAAAGAAAGTCCAGGTCCCATAGGCATCCCTTCAGGATCTCAGTGAAACATCTCGTAGTGTCGTACATGACCCAGCGCGTCCCACCACTCTTCAAGCTCCCTTGGGACCAACCCAACAATGTGGTTTCTCTGCTTTCCAGCCAGTCGCAGTTTCTGCCGTCGAGTCCTGTTTGAGTTCTGTGGACCCAAGTAAGGCGACTGGCAGTGATGGTGTGCCTGGCCTACTTCTACACAAGTTCTCTTCAATATTGGCACCCAATCTCACCAAAATTATCAACTATTCGCTCAGAACAGGCCAACTTCCTTCCACCTTCAAATCCTCACATGTCACCCCTCTGTTTAAGGGTGACGACCCAACCTCACCTACAAACTATCACCCAGTTTCCCTGCTACCCATCATCTCCCGTATTCTGGAGGCATTTGTAAAGAAACAGCTCACCACCTATCTCGAATCAGCCCAGCTTCTACCCACCAGCCAATTTGCCTATCGTAAACAACACTCCACAGAGGATGCACTTGTCCTCGCAGTCAACAGATGGTCTCTAGCCAAATCTCGACGAGAGTACACTGGAGTTGTGTTCGTAGATATGTCGAAAGCGTTAGATCGAGTTCAGCACGAGCGTCTTCTGACTGAACTCTTCTCTCTTGGCATATCTGGTACCCCACTCACTTGGTTTGCCGATTACCTCTCAGGCCGCTTCCAGCAGATCAGAGTTGAAGGGCATCTCTCTTCTGCCGTTTCTTGTTCTCGTGGTATCCCACAGGGCAGCGTTCTTGGTCCCCTGCTATTTGTCTTGTACACTAGCACATTGAGCACGATCCTGCCACCGACGGTAAACCACCAAGAATTTGCGGACGACATTACTCTCGACTGCTCAGACACCGACCCCACTGAAGTATGCCGAACCCTCAGCCACGCCATCACAAGCCTCGCCACGTGGTTAGAAGATATTGGTTTGCTGCTGAATGCAGCAAAAACTCAGCTTCTCTTCATAAAGCCCCGTGGCGCAGATGACACACAGCCTGAGGTGTGCTGCCATGCTGACAAACTTGCTGTCACACCTTCGGCTAAGTATCTCGGGGTAATACTCGATGAGGAGCTGTCCTGGAAGCCCCGCATTGCACACCTGAGCCACAAGACTGCTAGGACCATTGCCCAGCTCTGGAGGCATGGTCAAGGACTCAGTTTGCGCGCAAGACGCACTTGGTTCCTTAGCATGGTCCTCTCTCAGCTATGCTATGGTTCTAATAGCTTTGTTCCTGGGCTTTCTGCCCAGTTGCTTGGACGTCTGGAGAAGAGTTTGAAAGCCGGCATTCGTGCAACCTTGCAACAGCGCTTTCTCACCCCCACCGCACCGCTTCTGGCACTTCTTAGTATTGTCAGCCTGACACAGACATACACTCAGAAAGTTCTAATTTTTGTACACCGCTGTATGAATGGATATTGTAGCCCACTCCTACAGCAACTCTTTACAACGACTGCTCCAAACACTGTGCTAAACGATCAGCGCATCACTAGGGGCCAAGTTTCCAACTCGCTCCAAGTCCCTTTCCTTCGCGGGCCTGCTGGTCGCTCGAGTATGATATTTCACGGCAGTATTGCATGGAACGCCCTCTCGGCTGATGTAAGATCGATAACTGCTGCCGATCAATTCAAGAGAGTTCTATCTGATATTGACGTACTTAACTTGTAAACTCTATGCCAACAGTCCAACACCACTCGCTGTACTTCATGTTCTATGGACTGCTAAAAATTGTCCCCATCCAGCAAAGTCTGGCAATGTTCACACATATATTCTTATGAAATGCTTCCACTACATTTTATTTGTTATCACAATTTAAAAAATTCACATAAATTGAGTGTCAGCATACACACAATGTCATAACAAACATTTCTATAATAATAATTATACCGCTTGCATGTCTTTATCTCTATACATTTCCTCATAATTATAATTGTGATAATACTCATAAAAAGGACACACTTCAGGCTCATTACAAACATCTTGAAAGTTTTTGTCTTCACAAGTATACTTTCAAGCCTTCTCATCAGGTGAAATACAGGCAAGGGAAAAGGAACAGGAACAGTGGATTAAATACAGTAAGAAGGTGGTAAAACAGCGCAAAAAGAAAGAAAGAAAGAAAGAAGATAGCTAAAGTAAACAGCGAAAATTGCAATAATGACACAAAGGTGCAAATGCGAGAAAACTCAATAAGCGCGACATGTAGTGCGACAACAAGAGACAACCACTGGACATACATGTAACTAACGAGGTTTTGACGACCTACCTAACAGCCTAAGTGTGAATTTGATTTGTTTCTGCTTGCAAAGGTTGGGTTTCCTTGTGATGAGAAGGCTTGAAAGTATACTTGTGAAGACAAAAACTTTCAAGATGTTTGTAATGAGCCTGAAGTGTGTACTTTTTATGAGTATTATCGCATTTTTGTCTCAGAGGAAACTGTTCATATAATTGTCTTCATCTTTCTTTGAGAACCGGACCTATAGGCCGGTAAGAAGGCAATCATGCCTGTGCAATTGGTGAAGTAAAATAGAAGTCAACAACAACTGTGCCGACACGGCCTTCACCAACATAATTATCCTGGGTCAACATGTCCAGTCCCCACATGTCCGGTCCCCACATATCCGGTCCCCACATGTCCTGTCCCAACATGTCCTGTCCCAACTTGTCCTGTGCCAACATGTCCTGTGCCAACACGTCCTGTCCCAGCATGTCCTGTGCCAACATGTCCTGTGCAAACATACATGTGCCAACGTGAACTGTGCCACACCCGTTTTCCACAAAAATATATCCGGATAGGCGTGTTCAGAATGTATGTTGCACTCTCTGAATTTATATTAATTTTTATAGTCATGGCATGATTCACTTCTTTGCATTGCATTACACTGTACTCTAGTTTCTGCTGCAGGCATAGTGGGGTGGTCTAAGACCATGATTGAAACAGAGGGTACCAGGTTCAAGTCCTGCTTGGAAGCGGAAGGAATTTTTCCAGCCGTGCTGCTACCCACAGTTAATTGGGAACTGGTGGCCTGGCACGAGGGTAACATGGATGCAGCTAATGGGATTTCGGTCTTTGACCATTTGGTGGTGGGTCTGATCTACTCACCTCCCACCGTTTAGGCGCTGCATCTGCGCCTTTGATCCTAGAGGGTGGTGGCGTTCCCACGGCGGATGCGGAAAACTCGGCTTCCAGCCGAGTCTCACGCGAACCGTGAAATTATTATTAATTATTAGTTTCTGCTGTGTGCGGCACGTGCTAAACGGTTCTTTTCTTGCTCTTATTCGTGTGATGGCACGACACCCGCATCCATGTAATATATGGATGCGGGTGTCGTGATTATATCACGTGTTTTGTTGTACGAGCAGTGTGACCAGCTGATTGCGCATACTCATCTGGCCTGGAAGTTCGGCTTCCGAGCTGAGTCTTTTGCAGAGTTGTTATTCTAATGTAGTATTAATATCCTAAAATATTTTATCAACAAGGGCATGTTCGATTGATGTGATCCGGTTCCCGATCCCGATCTTGGATCACTCGGATCCTCCCAGCTCCAATCGAACGATGGCTAGCACAGTTGGTCGTCATAATGATGACGTACAAAAATGGCGATTGAAAGTTGCCAAGGTTGTCAAGGTACCGATCAATTTTTGTAATATATTTTGAAATTCAAATCTAAAAGCGTGAGCAAGCAGGGTTCTGCGATCATGTTGTCGCCTCCATAATAGGACCATTTCAAGTCCATAAAAAGCCGCTGTTCCACTTCCATTCCATTCCACGTGTAGCTTGTGAAGTTAGCTGTTGTTCTCCTTCCTCGCGAGGTCTTGTGCAGTTCCATTTTTCGGTAGCAAGCATCATGGAAGAAGGAGATAATAAGATTCGCCGACGGAAAATCTGTGTCGTAGTTGGCATTGTAGCTGTGGCAGTTGCCAGAATCCTGCAAAGTGAGGAGATACCGTCTGATTTGTTTGATGAGATTTGTGTACTGTCGCACCAACGTGGCTTCAATGGAGTCCTTGGATTTCGAACACCTCGACGTGTATCGGTTCCGCGGCAGAGGGTCTACGTCGAAGTTGTTGTGCCTCTGCAGTCTGATGCAGATTTTCGTGGACACTTCCGTTTGCACTGTGCAAGAGTAGAAATTGTATGCACGAAGCTATCCCATTCTGTCCACATGGCTGTGCAGGGCAATGGAGGTCGGAAAGCCTATACCCGTGCGCAAGCAGCTTTTGGTTACTCTTTGGTGGCTTGGCAGTAAGAGCACCATCGGAGAGGTGGCAGACAAGTTTGGTCTATCCAAATCGACAGTATGGCACAGCGTACGGCGTTTGTGTTTTGCCTTGCAGGACATGGCTCCGTTATTGATATGTTGGCCCCAGGGGCAAGGTGCAGAGAGGACGCAAGCAGAATTTCATTCAGCTCAGCACATCCACGGCGTCATGGGGGCGATTGATGGTTGCCATATCCCGATTGCAGCACCAAATGATGAGGCACCTGAGACATACCTGAACAGGAAAAATTCCATTCCGTTATTCTACAAGCAGTCTGCGACAGGAACCTGCTATTTACGGATGCGTATTGTGGCTGGCCTGGCTCTGTGCATGATGCCAGAGTATTCGAAAACAGTCCCCTGAAGCAGTTGGTCACTGAAGATGCTCGTCGTTTCTTTTCTGGAGAAGCCTTTATCGTTGGAGATTCTGCGTACCCATTACAGCCGAAGCTGATGACTCCCTTCAGGGATGATGGTCACCTCACAGCAAGTCGGACCAATTATAACTTCAGGCACTCGTCAACACGGATGTGTATTGAAAGAGCTTTCGCATTGCTGAAAGGAAGATGGAGGCAACTCAAGTATCTAAATATTTGTGAATGTTGAGAACGCCACCCATATCACCATTGCCGCCTGTGTGTTGCACAATATGGCCATCATGCACGAAGACGATGTCAGTGACTTTCTTCAAGACCTACCTGAAGGTGATGTACCTAATCCAACGTAGTATTTTCAACCAAACACCGGTGCCGCAGACAAGCGCAACCGAATTGTGGATCTCATTGCTTAACAGAGGAAGGCAGACTTTCACAATTATTGACTTTCTACTACTCACTTCGCATAATTCTGCTGTATTTGAGTAGGGTCCTCATTTCTTTCCACATTCTACCTTCCATGTAACTGTTCTCAAATCAAAGCATGTGTGAAAAGCTTTTGGGTGCCAGCTACTGACTGCAGAGAATGGCAAGGAATAGTGTTGTGCAAGTAGGCAGTAGTGTGTGATTGGTAGTCTTCCCTGCCACCCCATGCTTTAACGCAAACCACGTCACACATACACGCAACCAGAAGATGATACTCGATATTGCGTAGGTAGTACTTTCTCATTATAAGCAGTGAAATAAGCACAAGCTCGAGTATCTTGAATGATACATCATTGAGAGAGGGATACATAATAATTGTAGATGCAAAGACAGTATCATCACCGATTCATTGGTGTGTGTGTGTGTGTGTGTGTGTGTGTGTGTGTGTGTGTGTGTGTGTGTGTGTGTGTGTATGTATGTGCTATTCCCGCGGGTTGGGACCCGCCAAATGTGCAGTTGTCGGGCCAAGAAAGGTTGATTCGCAAAAAAGGATCCGTTGGATCCGGTCAACCCTGCTTCCCGAGGTGGGTTGACCGGATCCAAATCCAAAGGATCCGGATCCGGATTTGACCAATCGAAAGGGTGCGAATCCAGTGGATCCGGTGGATCGGGATCCCGATCCTACCAAACGAACATGCCCTAAGACAGTTTCAAAACTGGTTATCCTCGAAGCCTGTTTTTGTCTTGCTTGTCCGGAGGCATGTAAACTTTCGTATGTGCGTAGAATAGTTGCAAACAAGGCGAGGGAACCGGATAATCGAACACACCTACTGTATGTATGCACTGCATATGCTGTAAATCGGTAACCAACGATTTTCTTCCGGATTGCAAGGGATCCGGATAAAAGAGGACCGGATAAGCGAGGTCTGACTGTCCCAGCAATATATTCAAACTTTGGCACTACTTCATGAAAGGAGATTTAGGTTGTGTTTTTGTTTCTGGGAGAAAACAATTCTGTGCTATTCACCCTGCAGACGTAGAATTATGTGATACTGTGGGGCTCACAGCCTTACCGAGAGTATCATATACATTGGCATCACCTACAGCGCTATCTTAGCAGCAAATGAGTTAGCTTAAATCGACAATGACAAGATAACTCGTCACGCACATGAAGCATGGACCACTGTACAAACTGCTTTACATTCGATGGTGGAAGAAGTGGCAACATATTAATTTTAGTGTCCTTGCCGAACGCTTGCCGAGCTGACTGGGTGCTGACGTTGGATAAGGATTATCCGATTAGCGATGGACCTGCAGCTGCCACTGATATGGACCATTCAAATCAACACCCACAGTCCGATATGCCCTGATATAATTTTTTAACCGGACTTTCCACTCAATTGAGTGTGTTGTGATGCTGCGAACATTCAAGTGTAGCGAACTGTGAGCGAGGGCAATGGAGCCTTTTGTGTTGTCTTTTCTGCGCAGAGCACTGTGCTAATGGCGTTCTGGCCCAGGACCTGAGTTGCAAGTGCAACCGCACTGTCTTCTATGGAGAATACTGTGAAAAGGGTAAGACTGCAGGATAAAACTGTCTAAGTCTGTGTGGATTATACATGTACTACAATGGAAATAACCCGCTGGTGAACGGGGTATACTGATGTCTATATTTCAGGACCAACAAAATCCGCGTGTGGCTTATACTCAAGTGCAGCTTAATTAAGGCCGATTCACAACACCACTTTCTGCGACGCGACTCGCGACAGTTGCGACTAGAAACTGTCTGTCCCGAGCTGTCGCGTACAGTCGCAAGGCACCTGTCGAAGAAGTTGAAGAAAGTTCAACTTTTGCGACATGTGACGTTCGACATGCACAAATAGAGTACAGTTTCTACCCTGGGTGCTCATGCAGTGCACGTGCATAGTACTACTACACGGGTGTTTGCAGTGCATGAAATCTGGCCAGTCGTCCCCGTAAGCAAAATGCGTATGCATTCGGATCTACCGTACATTTTCTCGTGTTTTGGGCGAATCTGAGCGGTACGACGCGGTCGAATTGGGCCTGAATTTAACCTGAACCAGCCGCTATCGAAGTAAAATTAGGCATTTTGAAGGCTACACGGGAACGCTGCGGCCATGTCTTCTTTCCTGCGTCGTTTGTTTGAAAATCGGAGTGTTTTTGAGCTCGTAGTTTCGTCTACGTTGTGGAATGGCCGTGCGTACATTCTCCTTGGAATTACCAATAGACTGTGAGCCAAGTGCATGAATTCATGATTTTCGTTCCCACTTTGGGTGTACCGCGATTTTGTTCTTTTAGCATGTGGAGAGACCTAATAGAAGATCATTTTTGATTGTTGTCAGTTTGGGAAGCTTGCAGGGAAGTCAAAATAAGCAATTATCTTAACATACCCCGTTTCCATAGCAACTACATAGCAACTGACATAGCAACATGCTATTTTGAAGGTGTTTCTTACTTTTTTCAGCAGGCAACGGCACTGGACGAAGAAATGTATATCAAGCGTCATTGCAGCTGGGTTAAAATAACTATACGAGCCAAAAATTATAGAATTACGCATAAGTGCATTGTATAAAGTACGTGCACATTTTAAATATTACTCGAAGTGACGATGCACTGGTAGGTAAGTGCACATGAAATGGTGCCGACAACCACGAAATGCATTTCAGGAATGATAATGTACAGAACAAACAGGTGGCATTCAATATACAAAGCCCAGCAGCAGCGAATTCTCCAGACAACGGTTGGAAAAGACCATCAACAACAGCCAGGAGAATCTGGTTTAATCCGGTGGAATGCTCATTTCACCCTCTACATCTCTATAATATATACATGTACAGTATGGCAGAACAATGTTAAAGAAGTTGCTGGATACATATTTGCACTCATACATGTATAACTGATCAATGTAACGTTACTTCGTAAGTACTGCTGTATTGCTTCCTAACTTATAAGTGCGAAGGGTAGAGCAATGACCGTAACCAGTAACGTTAGAGGACCACAGGGGTATACCGGCAGATACAGATCTGTAGTTTATTTGAACTATAATAATAATTATTTTGAAACATTACCCATTGTATGTACAGAACACAAGCGGAAAGATACATGCATATTCATGTTAATCATAGTCTGAAGCACTTCAGTATAAAAGATCGAAACAGTTATTACTAATATTAGCTCTCCGGAGATAAGGTACATTGTACGTTCTACATGTATTTCTGCTCCAACACTGATTACAAAAACCTTTAGACTTTTAGTTTAGCTTGACTGATCAGCAGCAAGCATGCTAGCACACTGATATGATGGACATGATGATGTTCGTACTGCCACTGCGCTGCACTAGCACTGCACACAATACTATAGAAACCACGAAAAAACATCGTCATGATGCGGCTGGGTTTGCACCACCGTACATTTTTGCGAGGTCAGTGGTGCAACAGAAGACCGCTCCAGCTCTTGTGACCTTGGTTCTTGTCGATGGCGGCTATTGATTTGGCCAAAGTAGTTTCTCCCTTCTATTTGGGCATGTTCGTGCCTGATTTGGAAGTGACAACAAGCTGAATTCGTATCTAGTCGAGTAGATGAAACGAACTGGGGAAAAAAATTGCGGTACGCTCAAGGTCGGAACGAAAAATAATTCTAACAGGATTTTTGGTGCCTGGCTCACAGTCTACAATGTCACACCCCCGTTTATTACATTACTAGCAGTTTTGCTGGCAGCCACAATAGTTTTTATCCCTGGTTCCATATGTCCTTTCATTGAACAGCCAAACGAAACTTTGTGGCGCGGGGGTCTCAAGTTTGTCACTTTGAGTTGTACACAACAACCACATCAACACCTCAAAGAACCAAAAAACCAAGTGAGCAAAGTATTTCAATGTTTCGCTTTTGCCTGGCCTGCTGTGAAGATGGAGACTTCTACTCGGTAGCAGATACTCGTATCAATAAGCTGGGAGGGAGAGCGTGGCCAGTAAAATGTTAGGATAAAAAGAGCCACATTCTCTCTCGGAAAAGGTCGTCGTCCCAACACACTTGCTCTACCAAGATCTGTAGTAGGCTAGATTTTGCATGCATGTGCGAGATTCGCATCCGCCGCGCACATAGCCAGAGTCGAAATTTTTGTACTCTCGGATTTGCCGCCATCTTGACGAGTGGCCTCTGCACACTAGTGCATAAGGATTTCGCATACATGAAAAAAAGATTGTGAACTGTGTGTCGCTGCCACAGCTTGTCGCAGCTCGTCGCAGGTGTCACAAGTCGCATGTCGCGTTGCTAGAAGTTGTATTGTGAATCGGCCTTTATACTCGAGTGTGGATTTTACTCTGGAAAATACTGTACATAACCAGGTGCTGATATCACGACCGTATTTCCACACCCAGATTTTTGCCACGAAATGCAGCTACCTACCCTATAGTTTGGAAGCTTGCACATCATTGTGAACCTGATGAAGACAATTTGCCGAAGTGGAATAATTGTTGTGAAATGAGTTGAACTAATGCAGTGTTAATGGAAGAGAGCGTGTGGGCTCTACTGTCAACTGTTTATGAAAATGCAGGAAGCCTCCCCACTTTTACTACCATATCTATCGCCGTTAATTAATTTGACCATCGCAGAATAGGCCTCACCACTAATTTTTTTGGGTTGAACTAGTGATGTGTGGCTTTTATACTCTGGGAAATCTGGTGCTTGGACAGTCTGGCTCAACCACTGGTAACTTGTTTGTGGTTCAATTGCTCCCTTCATGCTTCTCATTGCATAGCATGCCGTGATGCTTTTCCTTGCCATTCCCTGCTCTTGTTGCGCATGCATGAACATATCGTATCTCTACAGACGACTGCAAGTGCTTGAACCAGGGTCAGTGTGACAACGAGGGTAAATGCATCTGCCCTACAAGATTCTACGGAGAACATTGCCAACTCGGTAGGTAGCAAGATATTCATTTTTGTCAATGCAAACAGTTATTTTCACTCATTGCATATAAGGCTGAGGTTGTGATCGTTTCTTCATACTCTGATCCAGATCCAGACCCACTACTACTATTATCATTCCGTTTGAATGTGGTGGATCTCCCCCAGTGCACCTGGGGTGTTGTGTAATCTGGATGTTTAAAAAAACTGCTTTGACGTGTCGCACCCGATGATGATCATGAATCATGTACTAACCATGCTGTGCTGTTCTGTTGCTATTTTTGTTGTGCACTGAAACAATATGTACGTCATGCACTGCACACAATAACTGCTGCAGAGTGCAGAACATGTCTGAACCAGGGTCGCTGTAATGAAGACGGCACCTGCACCTGCGCTGAAGGATGGACTAGTGACCAGTGCCAGACTCGTAAGTGTCTACTTAATGAAGCGAATACGCTGCATTCCTTCGGCGTGCGTACTGCATGTTGCAGTTACATTTCTTTCGCTTTGTAAATCTATGTCCAGTGAAAGTAATGCCATGTGTTCGGATTACAGTCCGCATTTTAAACACTCCTAATTTACACCCCCAAAAAATAAAAGGTCTGTGCACACTCAAAGTAATACTTTACTACCCACTCTACTCAGTGTCATTACCTTCATTGGCCTTTTATAATTTATTCTCCTTTTTAGTCGATATCATGTAATTAGGCAAATTTGCCTGTTTGTTCTTCGACTCTAAATAAACAAACAAACAAACAAACTCCAGTGGTTAAATACAACACGATGTAAAGGGTGGATGGGTATAATCTGGGCACGGATAATACTCAGGTACGGCGATTACTCTGGAAAGTATGGTACATTGTAGTAGTTGATTTGCCTGTCGTCGGTTGGACTAGTTGAGCCAACTTGCATGCATGAATGGCGGTCATCGGCCCCAGCAATTTCTGGTCTCCTGGCTTGTTGCAAAATGCCCATTTTGTGTCACCCGGGAAACATAAGCGGGACTTGATCCCAGCGGATTTTGAGAAGTGGAGTGTCCCTGTCTCATTAATATCATCAAGAGTCCATAATTCCGCAGAGTGCGCAACTAGGATGGGGTTGTGGGACGGCGTAATTCGTGATTTACGTCATGTTTGGGTCGGACTTGCGTCATTGCGTCGACGCGGTCAACCACGGTTCACACTTTCCCTACTCATGATGTCACACTATGACGTTCAACACGGATTTCGTCTCAGATCTGATCAGTGAAGTTGCGCTCTCTGGAGGATTATGGATTCTTGATATAATGGTTTGACCTTGCTTGCAGCCGCCGTGAATGGTTTGTCGATGATGTAAGCCGAGTAGATTTATGTCAGGGAAACGCAAATTTTCTACTCCACTGGCCGGGTGGAGTGAAGAAATTAAAGGGGCACTCCGGGAATATTTTCGGTGGTTTGTTCTCTTCATGGGTGCCTTGTATGCCCCCAAGGAATGGGGAATCGCGAAAACTAGGCCCAAAAAGTCGATATATGAAGCTAGGGAGGGCCAAGTTTGTCTCCTCTTTTGATGGTTTTGATGACGTCACGTGTGATTAGTATTCAAATTCTCTGCATTTGAAGATCTTAGTGGTTTGAATTTTCTGGTGATGAAGAACGATGTTTGGTCAACATTCCCAAGCTTCACAACTGCGACCATACTCTAAGGAACCTGAAGGACCTCCTGAGGTGCCACTGGTAGAAGCGCAGCCTGATGACGGCCAGGAAATTGGAGCGGACGACTTCACGGGTCGACAAGGAAATAACGATTGGTGTTCCTGCCAGAAATGTGGGGTGATGCAGAGGGCAGTCGATTACCTTCGCTGTCGAGAGAGCGCTGCAGCTGTTAGCATTGACAGCCCTTTGACGTGCGTTACACATCACCCCGACTTCGTGTCAGCTTGTCTAAAAAAAACTGTTCTGACCATATGCCTCACGGCATATAGAGAATTTCGGGATCCTCGTACGCGGACCAGTGAAGTCGTCCGCTCCAATCTCCTGGCCCTCATCAGGCTGCGCTTCAACCAGGGGCACCTCAGAGGGTCCTTCAGGTTCCTTAGAGTGGGTCCGCAGTTGTGAAGCTTGGGAATGTTGACCAAACATCGTTCTTCATCACCAGAAAATTCAAACAACTAAGATCTTCAAATGCAGAGAATTTGAATACTAATCACACGTGACGTCATCAAAACCATCAAAAGGGGAGACAAACTTGGCCCTCCCTGGCTTCATATATCGACTTTTTGGGTCTAGTTTTCGCGATTCCCCATTCCTTGGGGGCATGCAAGGCACCCATGAAGAGAACACTCCACCGAAAATATTCCCGGAGTGCCCCTTTAAGCTTTCCCCAGTGGTCACTAGAACAGGTTGGAACTACAGGCACACTACATCGCCTGATGTGAGTTTTCGCCATCACCAGACCCCATAGAACGGGTAGCCAGGCCGTTGTAGATGTTGGATGGGATGTGTTCTGGTCCAATGGATTGAAATAATCAGCTCCTACTCAAGACCGTCCAGCATCTCGACATAAAGAACAGTATTGGCCGTGGATTTACAAGCCAAAAGTCTGCTCCATCTGTCATGCCGTGCCCCTCAAAGACCGTGAAAGTCCCTAAATAGTACCTCACATCTTTTTTTTCTCAATGTCTGCTGCGGGCATAATTTGCATGCTGCACACGTTTTTCTTTGGGAGGTTTGTAGACTGATTTCTTACTGTTATGCCAATGTCTGGCATACTGACCAATGTAGTTGTTGTGTGTTGGTTTAATGTAGGGTGTGCGGACACGGACCCATGCTGCGTGAACAAGCGCATCGTGACACGCCGGGATCAGGTCTGCCGCGCCGCCACCAGCGACTGTGACGTGGCGGAGTACTGCGACGGCGAGAATGCCACATGTCCACAGGACCTGACCGCACGCAACGGCTGGCCTTGCTCCAATAGTCAAGCATCCTGCTGGAGTGGAGTTTGCCAATCACGAACTGGCCAGTGTCAGAGTGTCTGGAACGATATGGATCAAGGGTCAGCTCCTGAGGATTGCTTCGCGATCATGAACGTATTTGGAGAACGTACGGGTAACTGTGGTTTCAAATCGTCCAATTCCACCCCAGGAACCTATGCAGCCTGTGCGGCTGGAGATGCCCTATGTGGTAGTTTGTTCTGCCTTCCAGTTGCTCGAAAGAACCAACCCAGTAGTGGCGTTCTGTCCCAAACTATTCCCGTACGCGGTGTTGGCGGTGTACTCAGGTGCAATGGTTTGTACGCGTCTCCGCCAAGAAACCATGATGACCCATCGCTCGTGAAGGACGGAACACGCTGTGATGCCAGCGGCGCTAACAAGGACCTTGTGTGCCACAAGCAACGCTGCGTGGACCAGTCTCGAGTCACCAGTCAGTGTTCGGTCGATGCTGACAGCGGCAAAGAGTGTGGTGGAGTCGGTGTCGGTACAAATGTAACAACCTGCCTTTACCCACCCACACCTGGTAAGTTTTTGTTTTCACTGAATACCACAGAACCATCAGATGCTGCACAGCGGGGGCGGTGACATATTGGATGGAAGTGGGGGCGGGGCAAAAGTAACTCCTCCAACCAAAGGTCTCCGAATCATCTTTACTAAGTTATCCTCATAGTGTGCATTTTAAATTCATTTTTAGTTTCTGTACGTCCACGGTGCGTTTGGTTGGTACGATCTAGAACAGGATCGAACAGCTGGTGCACATGGCGCAGCCCCATGCCAAATACACGGTACTCCAGAAACAGAGCACATTTTTGTGAAAAAAAGATGCCAAACTTAGTACATACTTCAAAATGTGTATGTGTCACCATGGTGACTGTGTACAGTACGAAGAGTCCAACTCCAAAGTGTGTGCACGTGATCATTTGGGACCAAAATCGATGTTCCCGCCAGGTTTCACAGTGAAAAAGTGAAACTGCTCGGTTTGCTCCGGCCTCGAGGCCGGAGCAAGCAGAACATGTTCTGGCCGACCCAGAACAGGTTGCAGTGCCAACCAAACGCGCTGTTCTGGTGGATCCTGTTCTAGCTCGTACCAACCAAATGCGCCCCCAGTTGGCATATGGATGCGATGTGCTACAGATCTTGGCTCTCAAGCTATTGCTGCTACATGCAATGTACAAGCAACAAAATAGCCGTCATGCCTTTTTGAGAGCTGCCTTACTGCGTGCGAGCAAAACTCTGTATCCTTCAACCAAAATTTTCATCGGCGCACGTACTCAACGTAGAATGGTCATTCAAAGTCCTCAGATTCCTGAGGCTCAAGCTATTCTGACCTCTACTTTGCACGAGCCATGCAACTATGACCTACAGGGAACGTCCCCTTTCTTGGGCATGCTGTTCACAGACGTGCTCGCCTCACACGCAATTTGTAAAAAAAATGGTCGTATCTGTGGTTCGCTCTTTCGCGCTATTACTGTCCTCGCAATTGGAACAGGCCCGGCCAAAAGCGGTATGGTTGCCAGGTATACTAACCACTGAGCTTTGGATATGGTTACGTGTGGATACACGGAATTCGCAAAACAACTTCGTAGCACGTCCTGTGGTACCGCGCTGTAGGACTGTTTGTCAGGATGGTTCATGTGCAGTGCGAGCGCAGAAGGACCGGAAGTTGTGTGCGGATTGGTTCACGTTTCCCAGTTTGAATTTTCTTCACATTGCTGGGAAGGCAGAAGAACAGAGGTTCGAATATTCAGGGGTTTTCAGCCCTAACGCAAACCCAGATTTTGCAATTTCACGAGAGATTAAAAGCCTCAGTACAGCTCCTGAAAAGAGTTTTTTGAGTAATAATGATAAGGTGGCAAAGACATACCTTTAATACCCAGAGAAATGGTGATAGCTACTAGTTACTAGCAAGTGTAGATAAACAAGAGTGCGCAACTCCGGATGTCTCCTGCACAATCTGCAAATACCCCCGCCCACGGCAGAATTTTTGTGGGCGTCACCTTTTTTCAGAGAAACGCCCATTTTGCCGCAGAGCAGTGCAGAGTAGGCAAAGCCCGCTTTTGCCAGTAAAGCTTCGATATTTTGCCGCAAAATTTTGCTTTCTCATCGTTAATATTAAAATTTTTGCTTTCATTTTGCCAGGCCACTCGATATTTTGCTCCCTTTTTGCCCCCAAAAAACAATTGTGTCACATGTGGGAAAAGTGACCGAAAGTGGGTCAAGTGTTGGCAAAAATGAGAAAAAGCGAGTCACGTGTTGCTGAAACTGTGCGAAATTGAGTCACGTGCACCGTGTAAGTGTATAATCTCCAAATTTCCAGCGGACACACTGATATTTTGCTCCGTTTTGCTAGCAAATTCCCTTTCAGAATTCTTCGATATTTTGCTAGCATAATTGCTAGCAAAATCGGGCTATACCTAGTCTGGGGCACGTGCTGGGCACTGGCCTTGTAGTGTAAGTCCGGCCAAGAGCACGAGGAAAACATTCCGAAGGACTCGCAGCGCGAGAGTTGTCGAAAAGATTACGTCAACAAAAAAATCTGCAATGGGCCTACCCATCCGCGAGTTGCACACGCTTATTAATCAACTCTTGATAGCAAGCGGACCGAGCTCGGGACAACCTTCCGGGTTTTGAGCTGACTGCATAGGCAGGAGCACCGGTGACCTCAGAGTTGAGGAAATTACTAATTTTCGGTGCCATCTGTATCGTAACTTGTTAGGGCACACATGCACTCGGAAGTAGTGGATCCGCTGAAGCGACGTCGCAGGAGCGAACAATACCATGGCAACGGCGAAAAGCAGAACTTCCGCCTCGGTGGAAACTCCAATCCGCTTCCTCCAAAATTTTCCAACCAAGACTGTCGCTTCTGCGGTTTCGCTTCAGCGGAAAGCACCACGGTCTGCAGTATAAGGACTTACTACAAGAAATTTGTATGCGTATGATGCCAAATGCAACAAAAATGCGTGCAAGATGGTCATTGACCTCGTCTATTCTCCGTACCGTATGCACCACAGTCCACTTTATTCTCATTTTCCGCCGAAGTAGGAGTTTGCCTTGTTTGTATGCGTGACCATACACACGTGGTGTCGCTGGAGCGACACCAGGCTCGCTGTCGCAAAACCTCCACGCCGAAGCGAACCCAAGTGCACGTGGGACCGGGCCCTAAGTGTTCCCCTCTCAAATATCACCCTGAGCACTATGAGTTCAGGAGAGCAATATGGAACAAAAAAGTGAAGATCTAAAGTCAAAATGTTGGTGGGTTTCCATAGTAATTTTTGAAATCAGATTTTGCGAAGAGGAGATGGTATGCTGTTGTCTGCTTTGCTGAGATGCTTGTGTGTGTCCTCTCTGTTTCTCCGCAACAGGGAGCAACGAGTCCGCGAACACTACCCAGGCTGCTACACCCACGACCAGTTACTCAATAACCAAACCAACAAGCGACCCAGCCACAACTACTCCAACCGAAGTCGTCTAATAGAGTGATGGTGATGAACAGTGCAGTGCATGAAGTGTCAGTAATTGTAACTAGTTACGCATAAACCGGGGGGAATACTGCCGGCAGGACTGACCTGGTGCCCTTCCACTTACCCACCCATCTTCCATAGCATCCACAATTCGGTCCAGGAAACTCGACAGGCACATGCAGTGTAACTCCAACAGAACGTTTCCAGGACGTGAAGAGCCCCTGCTAACCAAGTGTGTTTCCAGTCCTGATAATTTCCTCCCATTGTAAATTTCAAATCTGCTATTTCAGATCAGTGGAAATCTGAGGCAGACCGATATCCCATAACCCGCTACGGCTGAGTAATTATGTCGTATTTTAATTAGTAATTATGCATCTATTATTTGCAAGATGATGAGGGTTTATCTCGACATAGCATACCTTAACTGGTTTAGTTTTGTTGTTGTGTATTGTACTAGCACATATACATAAGTCGTCTACATTACTTATTTATAAACAGATGTTCTCAGTTGTTACTTAGTCTTTTAATGTGTTCCCCAAGTTCTTTGACTGAAAATCTGGCAGTTTGGGCTCAAGTCATTTGGCTCCATTTTTTTTCTTTTTTCATTTCTAACTCTTGTTTCTAAGTTGAGGAAAAGTTCTCAATCTTCGGACTTTGTGTGGTCACAACTGGTGCGTGTACGCGTGAAACCATGCGTTTGTGCGTATTTTGCTGGCTTTTGGTGCTCCATGCGTACGGAAACGCGCCCAAATGGAAATTCCATTATGTTGGAATTTGCAGCGCGCATCAGGCGCGTACCAGCCTACATGCCATTCACTTTGATTGGCGGGGTCAACAAATTAGTACTCGAAGGTGTCGCACGCGCTAAATACGACACAGATTGCTGTTTGTAACAAAGCTTAGCAAAAGTACATAGCCCCCCCCCCCCCCCCCCCAGAGTGTGCAACGCCTGTTCCAGCCCTGCATAGTCCCTGATACCAACTCTTGCTGATACTGATAGGGTCTTGGTTGAGCCAGGTTTTACAAAATTAGGACAGGTATACCAATGCAAAATGTGTGGAGAAGCAGATCCCAAACCCAGGTTTTGGAGATTTAAAGTGGGTTTTTGATCCTCAATTCGGCCCAAATTGGACTTGCAAAAGCCAGCGGGACTGTTTCCGATGAATGGACTGTAGTACAATCCCTTAATTAATCAGGCTGAGAAAATTTCACCGAAAATGAGACTGATCGAAAAATCGCTACGCTTTTCGCCGATTTTGGAGGGTTCCTTTGACAATCGCCGAAAATCGACCAACTCTTCTAATAATAATTTCACAAATTTTGAGGCCAACATGCCAACAGTTCTTTTAGCCGATTTTCCAATATATTCCAGTTTTGCAGCCGATTGTCAAACAATCAACTGATTTTGCAGTCGAATCTGATGTATTTTTGACCCGAACGAAAAGCCGAACAAGCGGAAAAAACGGGCCGGTTTGGGGAAAGCCTACACAGGGGACCTTTCCGAACCTGAGCTTTCCAAGTTGGAAGGTTGTTGGTTTGCGCCTTGGAGAAGTGTTGGACCCAGGTGTCAGGTCGCTGAATGTCTCAGTACTCCCGGCCTTGTCAGTTTTGTGCCATTTTGTCGCACTCGCTGACTGAAATAAAGATCTGGTTACGTTGGTGGACAGTTATCATAATATAACAAACAAACAAAAAACTAACTAACTAATACTGCGACAAGAATACCATGTAACAGGAGATGAGCCCTTGCCACGGAGAACGGTTTTGGGAAGCAAAGATGCAATGCGCTTGAGAAAAGCCGAAGCCTTGACTCGACCACCCGTGCCAGAAAACAGCAATGGTGCTGGGATTCATGCTGCCATGGAGAATCATAATCAGTAAATTGATGTTGCTGTTTTCTTTTTCTTTTTTTCTTTTTTCTTTTTGGTTTCCCGTTCCCGGGGCCTTCTATTCGCTGCTCTTTGTAGTTGTACTTCTGTACTGTTTCATGTTGAGCTACATGTATCCGAATTCCAATAAACACCAAAAAAAGAACAAAAGAAAGAAAAAAACAGTCACATGTACCCATATATTTGGCGTTCCCCCTGAGCTACCCAAACAAATATTGTGCTTGACCGCATTACGGCACGTTCGGTATCTCCGCCTTCTCCGTTAAATCATATTTAAACAAAACGGTTCTGCGCTCCGGCTCTCCGTCTTCTCCGCGAACACAAGAAAACTAGAGGAAAACAAATTGAAGAAGCAAGAATGACAAGAAGGGCAGAAAGTATGAGAACATTATATTGTTATAAGCCAGCTAAATTTACCCCAGATCTCCAGTTTCAATTTCCAAACAACCCAGCACGGGAGTCTTCTGCAAGCTGCGCACTCTGCTCAAGCACAAGTCTGTGGGCGGGGGTATGCATATCACGAACGGCATACTGAGAGAAGTGGCACCCATGATCATGCAGTCCCTGTGCCAACACTAGTTTCCGGCTCGGGCAGCTACCTAGTGACTGGAAGTTGGCTACAGTCTTACCTATCTACAAAGAGAACGGCAAACATGTGTGGCCAGCTTACTACAGCCTACAGGCCTATCTCTGTATGATGATGTTGTTGTTGTTGCTGCTGCTGCTGGTGCTGCTGCCGTGGCTGTCGTTACAGTCCCTCTCGTTGTCGGGAAATGTTTGCTTGTGCCATTCTTCAACCAACCGACTTCAATTGTCACATGACTGACTCACGGCTGCCATCCAGAGCACACGAGAAGTCCATCGAACCGTCCACTCGGCAAACCTGCAAGAAAGCACCACTTCCTGCTCAATACACAGTGTTTCGGGGAATTCACCCCTCATCAGTTGAGCTTGAGTAGGCTGAGGAAGATTGTGCCTGAAGAGCACCACTTATATAGTGCTCTCTAGGCAAAGACATCACCAGGGATACAAACTTACAGAGACGCTCCGTTTCCAGCGCGAAAAACATCTCGTGAACACCAGATAGCAGCGTGAGTCAGTGTCGCTCGTGGAGGTGCTGAACAGACGCTGAGGACCGTTTGTGCCATTTTGTCGCACTCGCTGACTGTATAAAGATCTGGTTACGTTGGTGGACAGTTATCATAATATAACAAACAAACAAAAAACTAAGAAAGGTTTGCTCCCCACACCGGAGCTCGCGCTATTCCGCCGACTTTACTTGACACTTGACTGACTCACGACTGCCATCCAGAGCACACGAGAAGTCCATCGCACCTTCGACTCGGCAAACCTGCAAGAAAGCACCACTCCCTGCTCAATACACAGTGTTTCGGGGAATTCACCCCTCATCAGTTGAGCTTGAGTAGGCTGAGGAAGATTGTGCCTGAAGAGCACCACTTATATAGTGCTCTCCAGGCACAAACATCACCAGGGATACAAACTTACAGAGACGCTCCGCTTCCAGCGCGACAAACACCTCGTGAACACCAGATAGCAGCGTGAGTCAGTGTCGCTCCTGGACGGTGAGACAGACGTCGAGGACCCTCGGTCATTCGCAACGCTGTCACCTCCAAACCAACTAGTCGCCAGCCCGCGCTGGGCACAACAGTACGAAGTAGTGGTTGCGACTTCGGCGATGATTTTGTAAGAAAGGTTTGCTCCCCACACCGGAGCTCGCGCTATTCCGCCGACTTTACTTGACACTTGACTGACTCACGACTGCCATCCAGAGCACACGAGAAGTCCATCGCACCTTCGACTCGGCAAACCTGCAAGAAAGCACCACTCCCTGCTCAATACACAGTGTTTCGGGGAATTCACCCCTCATCAGTTGAGCTTGAGTAGGCGGAGGAAGATTGTGCCTGAAGAGCACCACTTATATAGTGCTCTCCAGGCACAAACATCACCAGGGATACAAACTTACAGAGACGCTCCGCTTCCAGCGCGACAAACACCTCGTGAACACCAGATAGCAGCGTGAGTCAGTGTCGCTCCTGGACGGCGAGACAGACGTCGAGGACCCTCGGTCATTCGCAACGCTGTCACCTCCAAACCAACTAGTCGCCAGCCCGCGCTGGGCACAACAGTACGAAGTAGTGGTTGCGACTTCGGCGATGATTTTGTAAGAAAGGTTTGCTCCCCACACCGGAGCTCGCGCTATTCCGCCGACTTTACTTGATACTTGACTGACTCACGACTGCCATCCAGAGCACACGAGAAGTCCATCGCACCTTCGACTCGGCAAACCTGCAAGAAAGCACCACTCCCTGCTCAATACACAGTGTTTCGGGGAATTCACCCCTCATCAGTTGAGCTTGAGTAGGCTGAGGAAGATTGTGCCTGAAGAGCACCACTTATATAGTGCTCTCCAGGCACAAACATCACCAGGGATACAAACTTACAGAGACGCTCCGCTTCCAGCGCGACAAACACCTCGTGAACACCAGATAGCAGCGTGAGTCAGTGTCGCTCCTGGACGGTGAGACAGACGTCGAGGACCCTCGGTCATTCGCAACGCTGTCACCTCCAAACCAACTAGTCGCCAGCCCGCGCTGGGCACAACAGTACGAAGTAGTGGTTGCGACTTCGGCGATGATTTTGTAAGAAAGGTTTGCTCCCCACACCGGAGCTCGCGCTATTCCGCCGACTTTACTTGACACTTGACTGACTCACGACTGCCATCCAGAGCACACGAGAAGTCCATCGCACCTTCGACTCGGCAAACCTGCAAGAAAGCACCACTCCCTGCTCAATACACAGTGTTTCGGGGAATTCACCCCTCATCAGTTGAGCTTGAGTAGGCTGAGGAAGATTGTGCCTGAAGAGCACCACTTATATAGTGCTCTCCAGGCACAAACATCACCAGGGATACAAACTTACAGAGACGCTCCGCTTCCAGCGCGACAAACACCTCGTGAACACCAGATAGCAGCGTGAGTCAGTGTCGCTCTTGGAATGACCGAGGGTCCTCGACGTCTGTCTCACCGTCCAGGAGCGACACTGACTCACGCTGCTATCTGGTGTTCACGAGGTGTTTGTCGCGCTGGAAGCGGAGCGTCTCTGTAAGTTTGTATCCCTGGTGATGTTTGTGCCTGGAGAGCACTATATAAGTGGTGCTCTTCAGGCACAATCTTCCTCCGCCTACTCAAGCTCAACTGATGAGGGGTGAATTCCCCGAAACACTGTGTATTGAGCAGGGAGTGGTGCTTTCTTGCAGGTTTGCCGAGTCGAAGGTGCGATGGACTTCTCGTGTGCTCTGGATGGCAGTCGTGAGTCAGTCAAGTGTCAAGTAAAGTCGGCGGAATAGCGCGAGCTCCGGTGTGGGGAGCAAACCTTTCTTACAAAATCATCGCCGAAGTCGCAACCACTACTTCGTACTGTTGTGCCCAGCGCGGGCTGGCGACTAGTTGGTTTGGAGGTGACAGCGTTGCGAATGACCGAGGGTCCTCGACGTCTGTCTCACCGTCCAGGAGCGACACTGACTCACGCTGCTATCTGGTGTTCACGAGGTGTTTGTCGCGCTGGAAGCGGAGCGTCTCTGTAAGTTTGTATCCCTGGTGATGTTTGTGCCTGGAGAGCACTATATAAGTGGTGCTCTTCAGGCACAATCTTCCTCAGCCTACTCAAGCTCAACTGATGAGGGGTGAATTCCCCGAAACACTG